CGGGGTTGCGGGGTAAGCGCAATGAGGCACCGTGACCTCGGCACAGAGCAGGAGAAGGAACAGGGGGGTTTTTAGTCAGTAAGAGTCTGACACTCCCTCCTGCCCGGCCCTGGGCGGGAGAAGTCATTTGATGACTTTCCCCTCACAAAAAAAAACAATTACAATTTAACTAAGGATGATTAAGATTAGGTTGAATTTGTCCACCGAACACGTGGCCGCGTGCGTATTCTACGAAGGTCCAACACTAATTGTCCAGTTTTACAAGATGGCCGCCTCACCAGAGCTCAGTGTTCGCTATGGACTTGAAATAATTACGACAGTGAAGTTTGACATCGACGTATAACAAAGAGGTTTTACATGCACTGATGGCCAGTGCGCCGACATATACTTTGTTAACCTAATTTTGTCTTTACCGCTGTTTAGTGACTTTTGATACAATGATGTTCAGCGACATTTGGATTGAAGGTGTACAGCGACTTTAGGAATACTATAGTGCACAGATACTTTTGAATTAGTCGTGTGTAACGACTTTTGTAAATTTCTGGTGTACAGGCTATTTTGTTTCCTAGTTGCGACTATAACTTATGGCGTTTTATTGTGAACAGGTGTTTTGGTAAGTTGATTCTGTTCATCGACTTTTGGAGCTGACTGTACCTTGAATGTACAACGAGTACCTAGTTATGCATTTATAAGGCGCTCGATAATCTTACTGAAGGAAGGAAACAAACAACACTAACGATTTTTAACGGTTAAAGGCCGCAGTTTTTGCAGAGGTTTTTCTACCGTCTGGTGATTCCGTTCGAGAAACAGCGTATCATCCTAGCTAACTTTCAATTTTGTTACGTCAAGTCTACCAATTTCAAGACTAAGTCTAATCTAAATTGGAGCAGACAGTTTTAATTAAAGTTAATTTATATACAGAGATACATTCTTACTGATGTTCATTTTATGAATAAAACTGTAAGACACAGGTACTAAAAATAAAACATAAACAAAGCCCAGCAAACATAAACAGTGATAATTGAAAATGTGTCTGCTACTGCAGCTGTTGCGTACATAACTTCCTAGTTCCTGCATTAATATAAAGGCTATAAGTCGTTGACCGACACAGTTCTATATAACCTTAAAATTAGCGGCATGACGTAGAATGCAACCATTTGAATTATCAATGTTTATATGCAAAATAACCCAATTAGACCTCTCAAATGTTTTTTTTTATCTTTTTGAGTCATTATGTGTATTGTCATGTATGGAAACTATTACAACACATACATATCACGTAAAACTCAAGTTGTACGTTGTATTTAATGAAATCGTAAAATCGGCGAAAGCGACTGAGGCGAAATGTCAGAGAAACCGTGAAATATGCAAGAAAATATAATTTTATGCATTTGGCTCCAACGAATGTCTACTCTAAAGCCATTGGTTACTTTCTTCAAGTAAATTACTATTGTCTTAATTACCATATAATTATGATTGAAGATGAATTGAATTATAAGAAAAAATAATCTTTGTTTTATGTCACCTGTTAGAATCTATCAATAAGTGACTAAAAGGTTGGTCCATTTCCTGTTGTCCAAATAAAGTCAGTCGTTCAAAGTGCTGCACTTATAAGGCAAACAATCATAGCATGGTCGTGGTGATGAAGTGATGAATGATGTTGTTCTGTAATGGCGGTCGCGTGGTCGCGGTCTCGCCGGGATGCGATGAAAGTGAAACGCGCGCGTGGTCCCCGTGGTCGTTCAACTCGGCACGCGCCTGCATCCTCTGACGGCCCATCTCGGGGCTTGTGTTGTTTTGTTGCACTCGTTCTGATTTCTGTAGGTAATGCCTCAATTTTATATAGAACGTACCTACAGGATAAAAGTATACCAGTTTTCTTGCAAATTTATTTTTTAATGTGTCGTCATTTGTAACAACTCACTTTACAGTTTTACTTGTATTAGATAGAATACCTACCTGCGTTCTATTTTTAATTCTAGCTTTATATCATTGTACAACTACCTAAAATGGTTGCATTTGAGACCAGATAATTTCTGTAAGTACTTTATTCAGCGTATCTGTCAGTACATAGTAGTTTACGCTAAGAGATACCATATACGGATCTGTGACGGATTCCAAAGCGGTGATCTAATAACAACTACACGATAAGTCCTTCTTACCTTACAGACATAGCGCGGCTTGAAATCCTTTGGTCACGTTTCTCTCCAGACACAAAACGAACGTGAAAAGATTAAAAACACTACAAAGTGCGTAAATTCCCGACAACGTTTTTGTCATAATAGTTACTTCGTCCTGTTGACCAAAGTAACAACGAAAAATTTCAGATTTTAATTCAATTTTTCCTTCTCGAGAAGTTTTAGTGTCACACTTCCAGTGGTTTCCAAATAAAAAGCGTCCTTGAATTAAAACATTAACTAAAAAGAAATATTATGCATTATGGAAATTATTTATTTTAACACATCATATAAAATTGACGATATTGATACATTGCATGAGGTTAACTTGTCCAGAATATAATTTTCCTGTTGATGAACATTTGTCGTCTTTTATATGTAGTTGTATAGTGAGTATGTGAGGATAATTTAAATAAATTAAGCTATGGCTGCTAGATGTGACCTTCATTGTTATGTGCTCAGATGTGTTAACACGGAGTCATCGTAAATAATTCATTGGCAATTTCAATAATTTGTTTAATGTCGTTCCGTCGAATGTATTTGTAGATTCTATTCTTAGTTTGCTTCCATGATCTAGAATTTAAACGCTCAATCTGTTGCAGACTTGTAAATAATTGCAGTCGCGAATACAATATTTACAAACGTCAAGTAGCCATTGGCGTATTCATTCGATACTTTTGTTGAAGTTTACTGTAGGCGGAAAATCATCGCGTGATAAAAACAAAATTGTTTCGTAGAGAAATATGCAAGTAGCGTACACGGTGCGACGGACGGCGCGTCACGCTTGCATGAAGAGAAAAAAATTCGAATTGCGTCACTTGTACATTACAAGTTCGTACAGCAAATAATACTTACTCACCGCACTTTAAGAGTGAGGTCAACTGAGCGAAAATCAATACACCTATGGCAGTACTTCATCCCAATGATTGCGAGAAACTGGCGCGTCAGAGAAAATGTATTCTATATTATTAAACTCATTGGACTAGAAGCAATATGATCCATAAGATCGGAATAATGAATGTTGTTGAGATGAATCGGAATTTTGTTCAAACTTGATGTAATCTCACACATTCAGACTGGATTCTACTAAGTCATCTAAGTGTAAAACGTGTATTATGATGAGAAACTTTACTGGCAATTATGGTAGAAAAGTAGCAGGTAAATTCTAAGCTTTCCCGTTGTTTAGCTGGTCATAGTAGACTAGTTCTTACGATGTAAACTGCCGACGACGACGCCCGCCTAGTGCACTAGATTGGATCTCCCGGCTACTAATTTTGTTCTCAATTATAGCAATGGAAACTGGTAACTAAGTTATTTCTATCGAGGGGGACACTATAACATCACTAACAGTTTTTTATTTGACTGTTCTTTTACTCAATGCGCAAACAAGTATACTTTCCGTCAATACTATCATGCGTCGTCATGCAAAGACACAACAAACAGTTCTTACAAAACGTTACGCGTTAATGGTTATGCTGTCATCTGCATTTCCACCTGTAGTTACATAAGTTGGCTCATACGTTTACAGTAGCTAGTCACGATACGACACGGTTGGCTGAGGCGTGCCGTGCTATGATCGTTTGTCGAGTTTGTTCCACATCATCGCTGGGAGGACGAGAGTGAATCAGCACCACTCCCTACCCACGCCTTGTACCTTTTGCAATTAGCGCTCTATTTGTTCTGATATACAAGCTCTATCTTATCTACATATGTACCTGACTTTTTAAGCTTTTCAAACTCTTCAGTTGATGACGACCTTGTAATAAGTAGTATAATAAATTACATCACACATTAACAGTATAGTCGTACTCAATAAATCTATTACTGCAATGTTCGATTGTTAAGTAAAATTCTTACAAATTATGAATTTATTTTAATCAAGGATTTGGTAATTCGTTCATGTACATATTTTATATAGTTTTTGTATAAAAGATAGACTTTTAAGACGACTTAAAAATAACAAGTCTTATGTCTATCATTCAATAGCATGCCTAATAGAATAAATAACGTCATTATGGATTAAGAATGGATTTATACGGTTTAACCATATTTATAATACGTCGTCTTTTCCTAGATTATCATTATACTACTATTCATCAGTCGACAAATCCCTTTAAGCTCTTAACAACCATACAATTTCTGAAATTGATATTTCCAAGATTTACGGATGATGAAGACTTATAAGTTTTATAAGCTTTCCTTTTATCATTAATCTGCACTGTAGAATGATTTACTTTAGTTAATAGTTAAAACTATGTCATTAGCTCAGGAACTTATAGCGCTGATGTACAATTAATAAATAATAATATCCAAGACATATAACCTCTTCGCATAACACTTGTGGATACAAAGAGTAATATATCGTGTTAATGTCTTTGTTTTCGTAAAAGTTACGACACAAATCGGAAGTTGTGCAAAATAAATTTACTGCTACCGAAATAATATTTGTGCGCAATATATTATTTATTGCTTATTTAGAAGAATAAATATACTACAATAGCCTTAGTTGGCATTACTAGACAATTTATCATTCAATGTTTATCTAATAATATGTTGCCATTTCTTATTTGTAAATCGATTTGGCAAATTCTTTCCAAGCGCCTAGAGCGCTTCGATTATTATTCTAAACAAATCGTAATGATAGCAAAATAGTTGCAGCTGACTTTCATTATTAAGTAAATAAACGAATACGCTAATTTGCTTGCAATATTACAAATAGTAATAAATACATATGCAATATGATTGTGAAATATGATAGCAAAGTTGAGGTAAATAAGTGAGTGAAAATGCTGATGTGTAATGATTTGTTTTGTTTGTCTACAGATGATGAGGGGTAATCAGTCGTGGTAGGAGGAGCGCGACATGAATTCTGACGTGCACCGTCATCAGGCGCACCCGCCATTGGCACAGGTAAAGATTTTGCACCTACTTACCATGAAGAACTTAACGTTTGAATGACAAAAAGCGGAAATGCGCAAAAAGAATTAGGATTTTAGTTTTTTAGTTAAATTACTGTCTCAGTCTTATATCTTTACATTATTGTAAATATTAAATTGTTATGATTTCGTCTTCGAAACACATCTCGCTTTCATCAAACTAACAAATCTGTTATTAAATGAATGAAGCAATGTTGCAACCGATAGCCAGGAGCGTACGCACTTTCGCATCGTGAACGGATTTCATTGTTACATCACCATCCTCGATTTTCAGTAACATGTGCAAGCTAAAGTTATAGATCAGCACGTCTGCAGCACATACTTTATCGATACATCAACCACTCTGTAAGCAACATTCGTCCTCGATACATGCACGCCCGCGTGGATTGCTTTGTCCGACTTTCTTCTTTAATGCGTATTTCTTGTTATTACCTCCACAAATTATCTTCACCTATTTTAATATCATAAGCATATACTTCATACATATCAAAAGTAGTGTGTGAAATAAAAATTTGCATGAAAAATTGTATTTAACGTACCTGCATCAACAGTTGGCGTACGTCCAAGGTTTTGCGTTTCAATGGATCGTTACGGGGAACATTATCGTTTATCCAAGTGCTTCCAATTCGTTATATTGCTAAACAATTACGGTTTGTATTACAACACTTGGATACAGTTTATCGACGTCAGTATCGAACGAGTTAATCGGCGTCCCTATTATGATTGGATTTGACTGCGGTAAACGTTGGAACACTTTTACGATATTTTATATTCATGAGTCGTCTTCATGAAAGGTCGATTTGCGGTCAACCTCGCCTGTCACGATCTCAAATTCAACAGTAGCATGTTTATTTTAATTCGGGCTTCTGTGTAAACTATCTATGTTTTACGAGGAATGAGTAAACGTACTTTGAAGTTCAGATTTTTTTATTATTGTAACGATTTTTGCAGATGTAAATTGAGATACGACCTCCACGCAAACGTGTAAAATGTATATTGCAGTATTGAATATATTCGCTTGTGCGCATTTAAACAATTCGTATATGTACTCTAAATTCCTTGACTGTCAAGAAAGCCGTTTGCGAAATTGTATGTGTGCCGTGTTGTTACAGCACGGAGTGCACGCGGGCTCCCAGGGTGTGGGTCCCTGCGGCTGGTACTCGGCATCAGCTGCACCAGCCCCCACTGCACCGGCCCGGCTCAAGCGCACTCAGCCCCCTCACCAACTACCAGTGCGTATTAAACAACACGTCTCTACTTCCCCGAGTATTTTCCTTAATAAAACACAATGATTAAAAAAATACAAAGATAGGTACATATTTACGGTTTTGCTAAAAGAAATAAATCAAAATGAACGTCAGCATAAAGTAGGATCTAAAATAGATTATAGTCCCTTAATAAATTTTCTCAGAAGATCAGAGGAATCTGAGGAATACTCCATAATGTCGATAGGTGAGACTCATTGTAATTGTGATACAGCATTGACTACGACAAGTACAGTGGCATGGTTATCACAGCGATGTCACATAATTTATGACCCTTTGTGCGACCACATTGATCTATTCCCAAGGCTAGGCGCGAGACAAGTTCCCATTGCACGTAGTTGAAACAAAACAATTGTAACATTATCGGCGTGCCATGATTCCACTGACATGTGACTAGTTTTTTAAAATGATTTGTAGGTTATTGTTTCAGTGTTAGCCATATTTATGTTGCTCTAAAATCCACTTTACCGCCGACAGAAAGTAGAGTTCATATTCATTCAAACCCTTTGTCACAGCCAGTATTGTTTGCGGTGGAAATTCTCACGGTTGCTTAGAAAGTAAGACACCGCGCCGGATCAAACGTAAATATTTACTCTTTAAAGGCAGATGTGGCGGTGGCGCTATGGCGTGGGCTTGGATCTAGAATTGGCATTTCCACAATACACGTGGGTTATTTTTACGATAGTTGAAAACTTTGTTTCAGTGTGGAGGCAGTGTGAGCGGTAGTAATGGGCCACACGCGCCTCTCTCGCCCACCGCATTGCAGAATTCCATTCCACATAACGTGAGTGCAATTTATTTATATTATTTTTGCTGCACATACTTGCAAATGTAGCTATTTGGACTACGTGCGTTGCATTCTACAGCTCGTACAATGTGGTCTTCTTCGTTAACTGCTTCGTTGGCACCGTTTGTACTAGATACGTACGAAGGTTAAATGTATAAAATATCGAACCGTTTACTGGTAACATTATCTAATGGGATTAAAAGTGATAAGTGTCCTAAATACTATGACCCAGTTTTAAGTTGAACTTCACCTAGTTACATAATAATTATTCGCATGTAAAGCCAATAGACACATTCCTCATCGGATCGACCGTCTCTAGTCCCTCTAGTCTACTAATAATGATTATTTAATTTTATATTAGATATTAGACTTATGATGACGTCATTAACGTCCCACATCTACACTTACAATAGTGTTTTTGTGATCTTAAGTTTTTCAATGATTTATAACTTGCCTTCGATAGGTAGTTATTGTTTTTAAACAATAGATGACGACAGTTAACTTGCTCGTGTAGTATAGTTTTATCTTCAATTGAATCGTGTAAAATGCGTAATAAGATGTTGTCTTCCAACAGATTGTGATGTCGTCGTCGGTACGGACGCCGGCGCCGCCCGGGCCTGCGCCCTCCGCCATGCACACCTCGCAGACGACATCTGGTAAATTACTTTAACATTCTGACAAACAGTTCATTATGTACGCCTTAGTGATGGACGTTACAGCCTGTATGCATCCTTAAAATAGTCGAACCCTAATTAAAACATAAAGATACTGTTTCAATGAAAAACATGACCCAGTTTAGTGAACGCAACTGTATACTTACTCACAAAAATTTCAATCTCAACTCGGATTAGTAATTTATACGAAATTACATGAATATGTTCTGTCATGCACCTTGAGTTTATACATTCAACTGCGATTTCACTGAGTTTCACAAGTATAAAAAGCTAAATTAGTGAGTGACGTCATGACAGTTACCAATAAATCTCACTGATATTAATAGTATCAGAGCAACAAGAATATTGTACTAACTTTCATACGGTAAATGTGAATTCCGCATGTGCGTAAATATACAGTAATATAGTGTGTACACACACGTTTTCTAATGTAATGTATTCAGACATGCAAATCACGTTCGGCCCTCGTTATTCGCAGTAGTTCTTTAAATTGCAATCGACATACAGTCTACTAGTTAGCTGTTACGAAACCCTACGTTGTGTTGCTTTCATTCTATACGAGTATACGGAGTCAAGAAAGTAAGGGTTATGGGAAGAAAGTATGACTAATTATTCATGTCTGAAATATAACTTCAGATAAAAATTCTCTTTGTAACAAAATGTGTGATGGTATTTGCAAAATAATTTAAACCTCAAAACTCAATTATGATACAGACTGAAAAAAGCTTTCTACCTATATTGAGGAAACTACATGGTGACTATATTCCAACGAGATAAACAGTACTCATTCTTCTTCATAGAAATCTACACATAGGCGAAACGAAATAAAATTAAAAGACAATTTTAATCTTTCAAAAAAGACTTTTGGGACTAATTGGGAAATAAGTGATAATAATATATTTACCAAATTATATTCTGCATGGTTTTGAATATAATTAGCGGTAGAATTATGTTAGCGAGACCTTGTGTCATGTCGATACAAAGGAGCAAAATGAGCCAGTGTCAGAGGATGACGGTACAGGAATACAGGCATTCGTGACTTGCAAAAATTACATTGCAGTATTATTTATAAAGGCGAGCGAGCCTTGGCACCAACCCGGGAAAAGGCTAATACAAAAGAAATGAATAAGCAATTTTTACTCTGAACACATTTATGCCGAAATACATTAGCTTAAATCACATTTAGAAAACAAATTACGTTGTTTATAGACAATCTTTTCCCGTTCTCGTTCGGGATATTTTATCTTAAGTATAATTATTCATGAACTCATTAACAGACCAAGTAATTTGTGATGTTGTATTTTCATTAAATGCTTGCTTGTAGTTATGATAAAGAAAGAAATTAAATCTTACAAGTTACATCTTACCAGCTATTCTCGCGCTGTTTCACTCGCTGCTCGGCTCCATTTGATTGTAGCGTCATGTTTTATAGCCTATAGCACTCGGGAACATTGTTGCTAACAATTAGTGAAAGAATTTTGGAAATCCGACCAGCGGTTCCCAAAATTTCCCCCTACATACAAACTTACAAATTTTACCTCTTTATAGTATTAGTATACGTAGATATATTATGGCACATTGTGTTCTAAAATGTAATGTCACAAATGTTAAAATATTTAAATCCAAAGTTAAAGAGCTTATTCCAAGTAGAGTTTATAAAAAACATATTTATCCAACAGCTGTGTCGAAGGGGCCGAGCGATGTGTTGGTGAACTCGACGTGCGTGAATCCTCCACCGGCCGGCAACAGGCTCATCAACATGACTCAGTGGCCGTACGTATCTTGCCTACATCTGTATTTGTACTTATGTCACATACATACCAAGTAAATGTATGTATCAACAAATTAATTAGGCTGAGAATGTCTCTACTGGCGATGGCGTGCTATGACTAGATGCATGAATGTAATGGGAGCTAAGGAAGGGTCATACTAATTTGGTCCTTATAGATAGTTACCCCATGAAACAAAGTGAGTCTGTTTACGCAGCATATATTAGGAAGATTTTTTAATAATGAGATCTTTGTGTTTATGTTCAACGATGTAATTATTCAGTTTAGTTTATGTTACAAGATTATGTTTGCTCTAAATTTTATAAATTATTCGTGATATCTGTGCTTGGAATGAACGGGACAACCCACTAATGGTACGGCACGAAGCACCTAGCTACGTGTTCTCATTATTAAGCCCAGGGGTTTATTTAGTCACATTTTAAACTCGGACTTCGGTATCTTAAAGATAATTTCGAAGTTTCTTTAAATTTAAATATTACTACAATTCGCATTCGTTTAAAAACACATAAATATAAGATTGGTATAAAAATAAACCACTTTTTTCTACCTAATATTAATATTACCTAATGTTAAGATCCATTCAAATGATTAATTATAGATAAACAAAAATGCACTCATGAAGCTGTCACTTACAACGACCTCATTCACAGAATTAAGGCCTTTCAATAAACAAAAACTTGAAAACACACAATGTATTGTTAAGAAAAGGCTAATTTATTAAAACACCGCTTATAGGTGATAACATTAGTGTTATCAGGACTTATCTGAATGATAATAGACGTACAGTCGTCAGTCTGAAACACAGAAGTATGGAGTGTGCGTGTGACATAACCCAGTGCTTCAACAAACCACACAAAGTTCTGTTGTTCATACCACCGGTTTTAGCATACGAGGATGTAGAGTAAATATCCCGTTCATTTTATATAAGTACTTGAAGTCTCAGGCAAAATACTTAAAGGATTCATTATATATGATAAATAGTTTAACGTCTGTGGACGTGTACTAGTGATCATATTGGCTATATAATCTTTATCCATTGCTCTGTTCAACAGCAACAACACTCAGATCAACAAAGTTTTATTAGATTAATTACTGTTAAATTAGAAGTTCATATTTCACTATTCACTACCAGAGTGACAACTCGACCTTACAAGAACCGGCCTGTAACAATCACAGCGTTGTTTCGCCGTGTGAGAAAGGTTACAAGAGGCCCAATCCTCCTCCTTCCCCCATACCCGATCCCCTAACACCAGAATCTAAGAAAACTATTTTAAAATAATATCTACCATTGGCGTGGTGGTATACACCAATGGTGTCCGACGCTAGCGGAGAGTTAGCCTTCAACAGCTTTTGTCGAGAGTCAAATGCTTAAATTTGACACGGCTGTGTTCTTAAAGACCACGAAATCTTAAATATCAGAAATGTTCTTCTTTTAGGGACTGTGTACCTAAGCGGGCCTTCACGCTTCCATAGAACTGATTGGGCTAGATTTTTATATCACCTTTATCAATTGTTATTATTGTTATCAACAATATCAATCGACCAACATGATTACAAATGTCCTAGTCTTATTGATTTTCCTATGTTGATATTAGTATTGAAAGAAAACACGCAGTTAGAGTGAAACCTCATTGTAATTGTATTGTATTACGATCTATCATATTTAATGCGTTGTAGAACTCGTTGTTAACAGGAAAACTTTGTGAAACGCAAAAATATTAAAATGTTATGTGCTATCTGAAAACAGACCTTAATACAATCAAATAAGAGTGTTGTTTGTCAATTGTCTTCATGAGAAACTATCTTTATTAATAGACTTGTATCTTGTAAACAACATAATATTGTCGTAAAATTGTTAGTAAAAATTTTAAATACTATGAGACATCAACAAAGCGCGAATGTACGACAATTATTTTTAAATGTTTTTAGAGAAAGTGTGTGTGAGAGAGAGAGAGAGAGAGAGAGAGAGAGAGAGAGAGAGAGAGAGAGAGAGAAAAGCATTTGAATTCGTAGCCTTGTGCAGAACGTAAGAATTTATTAATTAATCGTAATATTTGTCTGCAGATGGCACCACGGCGCGATATCCCGCGAGCGCGCGGAGGCGTTACTGTCGGGCTCTCCGGACGGTGTGTTCCTGGTGCGGGAAAGCACCAATTTTCCCGGCGACCACACGCTCTGCGTGCGGTATCGGGGCCGGGTCGAACATTATCGGTAAGATACCTTCACTTCATATCTATTCATTACAAATCTAATAATATTTCCTAAACCTCACATTCTAAGTCACGTCTCATTATCGAATCCCGCAAATTACAAGAAGTACTGTGGAAAAAGTATTTTTTTGATGGGAAAATCATTCAATAAGTTTTCCCGTCCTAGATGGGGTGGGGAAGAGTCAGACTCTCACTACTTAAATCCACCCCGTAACGTCTCTTTCCCCATCTATAGTTATTTATTGGTGCCAACAACTAAAACTCAACATAAAATGTGGAACATACCAATTGCCATTACGAAACGCTTAAAGTCAATAAAACACTTCAATAACTGTGTTTGCGGACACAGAGTTGCAGAATATTGTGTACTTATGTCATTGAGATCTATGTCGAATGTATAAAAAAATAAAATAACAGTGTTATGAGTTCCATACAATACAACTTTGCACTTTTTGTGGCTCGAAGATTTTATTGAAAGTTTTTGAATAGCAGATAGATAATACAACAAGTAACAACAAGCACCTTTTAATTTTCGCAAAGTGGAGGCCTATCACCACTGGGTGCTTAGTGCCACATATTCGTTATACCACTCTAATTGGTTAGGTCACTTGGAGCAGGCCAATCAAACAGCAAACATCATGAACGTGTGTTATTATTAGTCCCAAATATAACTATTTTAACCATATGACATGTAATATTACTAATACTGTTCTTTCTCTTGTAAACAAGTCTGAGTGTTTCAATTATGAGTCAGTTTCAATGTTTCAAACTAATATGTAATTTTAGACTATATTTAAGTCGCTAACAAAAATAATAATGGTCTTCTGAAAGCATTGTATTTATAAATACATTTAAAACGTTAGTATTACAATATGATACTCAGTTCTTTGAGTATTGTAAGTAAAAACATGTTTTACAGAATTTAACAATAACAGTAAGGTTCTTGAAACGACCGTTCACGACAATAGTACATTATAATGTTTTATTTCAAACAACCACAAACGACATTTTTGCTTTGTGAAAAAATATGTACCATAACAGTTGTTGCACAAAAGAGTTAAATATGTCGTAAACAAGTTTAAACAAATGTTTTATTATTGTTTTTAGAGTAAAATGGGCGACAGCTCCTGACAACCAAAATCAACGTCTAACAATAGACGACGAAGAGTTTTTCGATAATATGACGGATTTAATCCATGTAAGTATAAGTTGGATACTTGAATGAACTATATTTCGATATTTTATGTCACTAGAATGTTTATATTAACGCCCCAAGTGTCACAAACACTTTCCTACAAAAAATAGTAATAATAATGGAAGAAAAGACAAACATATTTCACAATGAATACATAAAAAATACAAAATAAACCAAAACATACATTACTAAACAGTATTTCTTCAAGACTACTTGGAGCACTCCTACTATAAGCAACCCTTTCCCTCAGAAATGGTATGTTAGAAACTTGCTTTTAGTACGCCTGCTCCATAGGCTTCATTTACCAGCAACCAAAGCCATTATGACGGAATAAATATTAATATATGTTTGTGTTCCTCCACACAGCACTACTTACAAGATGCTGACGGTCTGTGCACTAAGCTAGTGCGGTGCTTGCCGAAGGCCTTGCCCAATGGCGCTAACAATAACGGAGTTCTGCAGCCGTCCTACCCGCCTCATCCGCAGGTAATAAACACAAAGAAAAGAAAGAAAGAAAGAAAAAGTATTTATTCGCGTCTGGGACGCATAAAAGACACAAAACGAACAAGATAATAAAATAAAGTTAAAATAAAAATACATTGAGCAAGGTAAAAACAATATCACAAAAGTAGACGGTAGGAGAAAAATATGCGTCCAAGCACGCGAAATGGCCCACGCTCAACAACATATTTATTAGAAATACATGACAAACATATTTATTAGAAAAGGAAACTATTTTCAGCAGAAAAGAAATTGAAGTAACAATACCACACATAAACATTAGTGTTTTTGATACTTTTCACAGCAAGGTCCATAATTATTTTCCCCAAAAGGAACCAACAGATAGCAGCTGACTTGTAGAACCCATCTAACTTTCAAAGTACACTGTCCATATAACCCTTACTATTATTGGAAATTGTCAAATACGTTGACCACATCTTTTAATTATTAGAACCAATAATAAGCTTTGCTTGAGGCTACCATACTTTCTGCTGTCTCTTACTTTGAGGTAGATTGAGAGAAAATGGTTTAGTTACGCTTTAAACACTTAAGTACCTTTAGTTTGAGTAAAGCATTAAATAGGTAATCAATATTTATAACTTGACAGCAACCGCCGCCCTACCCCCCTACGCCGAGCGTGTCTAGCGCGCTGAGCTCGGGTCACTTCCAGCACACGTACTCCACGCAGATGGCCTCCTCCGACCAGACGGACAGCTCGTTACAACCGCAGAACTTTGTCGATGCACGTTAGTATCATTTATACTTACAAGAAAGAGGATAAACCTTGAAAACATTGAAAATTCCTCGATTATTGCAGTCATTTTTCAGGGAGTCATATAAACTACTATTTGACTCAACATGCCTTCGGAAACGGGCCCTAAATCTTTAGAAATCTCTTGAATTCCTCGCGTGAGGATCTGCAGGCGAAAACCTAATACATCATACCTTTATTCGTTTTATATCTATCAGTGTTATAAGTTATCAATGTAGGTAACAAAAGCTATAAAATTACTGTCTCCGTGTTAAGTTTTCACACACTTTCGCTTATATAATATTATTTACGATTCATTAGTAACATGTGAACTGTAATTAAATAGTTTTTTCTAAATAAAACAGGCTGGAAAATAGACGAGCGTGACCTTGAGATTCGTGAGAACATTGGCAAGGGAGAGTTTGGAGATGTTATGCTGGGCATACTGAACGGCTCGCAGAAAGTCGCGGTAAAGATCCTCAAGGATAGAGAAGCTGCCAGCAAGTTCCGCGCGGAAGCTAGCGTTATGGCGTAAGTAACGTAATATTTCATTTATTTATTTCTAATTGGCACTTAATCTTTTAATAAGTGTCTGTATTTTATTAGAGGACAAACTGAACCACGTTTTGTCCTCTATAATCCACCAAGGATGATTGATTATTGACAATAATTACTATACTTATATATATTGGTATGACATGTATCGGAAGTAAAACATATAATATTGTGTTGTATGTAGGTGTTACTTAAGATGCCAGAGACTTCCATTAATCGTTTTTAATTGACAAAATATCAATAAGATTTCGGATTACGAGAAATATAAACTAACCACAATGTAACCGCGGCTTAGCATTTAATTACAAACCCAACACACACAAACGTTTTAATATTATACTAACAGCCAAACTACTAAATAAATATCGGATTTTGTGCAAACTACACATAAACCATCTACCAGGCATGTTAGGGAGTTCCATAACCGTAACCGAAACTATCGGATATCCGGTATAAAAAAATATCCGTAACCGTAACCGAATCCGAAATAAAAGTTTCGTATAATATCGGTTAGGGGCGGAGCCTAATTGAAACGTTACGTTTGTATTTTACTTTTAAAATTCTTGAAAACTTTAATATCCGTAACCGAAATTATCCGAAACTAACGGATAATCCGAAATAATTTCATATCCGTATCCGTAACCTTATCCGGTATAATAATCATTCCTATATCTGTAATAAATCCGTATCCGAAATTTCATATCCATAACATCCCTACCATCTACTAAAGAGTCTGAAAAAAGCCCAAATATTTGGTTTGGACGTTAAGTTATAAAATTTCAATGAAAATTGGCATTGATACTTTGTATAAAATAAAGTAAGAAGATTTTAATTTCCCCTGCGGTGACCCTTCACGCTTCCCGTGAGATATCGTAAGAGCCGACTCGATAAACATGTAAAAAATGCTATTAGTTTAATGTTTGTCAACTAACGTGACTCATAAAATTAAATTTTATCTATCTACAAGGTCGACAAGTTAATTAAAACGTGTATTAGTCATAGCAACAGGACTACGGCCGTCATACATACTTCATGAAGTTTTATGGTATAAGTATGTCACTAATTTGTCAATATGTTTTTTGATATTTTGAGTCAAAAGGAAATTCGTCGAATAGCATTTATGATTCAGTTTAGTTATACATATAATAATTTGTTTCACCATAGGAAAATACATTTTAGTATCGCGGCTTCGTTTCCAAGTAGCATGATATCAAGGCGTGTCTCTTGTATTATACGCTAATTGCATCGCTGCCTAACATACATTTTATCACAATAAAAGGTAAAAATTGAGGATGTCTATTAAACAATGACAAGAAACTATATTATTATTTTGACTAAATTGTTTAAACCTTTATTTCCACGACAAAGGCATTCGGGAAATAATTAGGTCCTTTCTCATCACTAGCTATAGGGATAGGCGGTAACTAGTCAAAATTAATTCGGCGTGTTTGTAATTTGTAAAATATATGTAGGTATGTATGTAAAATTTGTGTTATAATATAATAATTATGTATTTATATCAAAGTTACTATTGTATACATTTTTATGCTATATAACGTCATATTTTTTTAATCGATATTAAATATAATTTTCTCTTAAATTGGCTAGAAAAATTCTAAAATCAGGATTTCACATTTAATAAATAAAAAATTGAATCGTTGTTTTTAGATACTTTAGTAGATTTATTTGTAACAATAACTCATGTTTAACTTGATAATATTCCAGATTAATAACATGTCGTATAAAAAACTAAGGTGTATAGCCTGTAATCATGTTCTTATAATCCTTACATGTATTTATAGGTCGCTAACGCACGACAACTTGGTGCGACTGCTGGGGCTGGTGTTCACGTCGAGCGGCAGTACGTGCATAGTGACGGAGCATTGCGCGCAGGGCTCATTGCTCGACTACCTCCGCTCCCGGGGCAGGCACTACGTCACGCAACTCAACCAGATCAATTTCGCATAGTAAGTCATACTACACATACATACAATCAATGAATCAGTCTTACACTGCTGGTACTTCTTAAACAATGAGAGTTGGGTAGTTTCCTAGGTCAAAAATAAATTAATTCGACTTTTCAAAACAATAACTATACTTTTATTAATCGATTGGTCGATACACTACATTTTCGATATATTTTATCTATTTTTTAAGAAATAGGTAGTTTCATACAAATTTCATAGAAAAGTATCGTTTTTGGCATTTAGATAAAAGTATTGAATTTGACCAGTTGGAAACTACCGTATCAAAAACCACGTCTGTACACACACATCTATAGTTCGTTCCATAATTAGAGACAACGATTTGACATTTCGAGTGTTGCAAGTTTTTTCCATTTCATAAATAGTGAAGTCCCGCGACCGGTATTGACCGAAAGACCGAAATTAAATTCTGAACTTCATGCATTTTAAAAGCTTAATTATTTTTAGGTACTTTCCCTGGTACCTTCCTGTGCCCATACTAACTCAGTCGGTTTAAAATCACAATGGTAAGGAGGCAACCGTAAAATAGTGACCCACCTTTTAGCAGCTAATGGCTGCTAAAAGGGGGGTCACTTTCCACGACGTATCGTTCATAATTATTCTTCTCTTTCCGGGAAATCTCCAACAGCTCGGCTTTCAGCATAGGTTCCTCAAATATAATGTTTTTCTTTTAGCCAGTCTTGGATTTCGCATTTTTATTTTATTATTATTATTAACTCGATTAAACTATAAAAAGCATCACCGCAACGTTGTTTTATTTTGGCCTGACCAAAATAATATTTAATTATTTTATAAAAAACGGTATCGGTATTTTATTTAAAACATTGTACTCGGGCCCATCACTATTTATTTATTTTATTTTGAGGAAAAACAAACAGTAACATATTACGAAATATACATAATTCAAACTTACATATTACACTTGGCAAATATGTTACCCACTACGTTTTCCACAGATTACTTTTAATATTTTCACACAAACATAAGTACATTTTCAAATAGACTAACTTATTTAGAACAAGGCAGCAGCTTACATAAATTCTAATTCTAATGTGATAACAAATATATTTAAATAATTTGTTTAACAATCTAAATAAGTTAAAAAATCTGGCCACATCATTTTGTAGTTTGACATTTGCTGTTGTCAAATTGTTATCTCTAATTATGGAACGAACTATAGAAATAAGACATTGGAGCATTATAAACAGCGGACCTTGTTCAAATGAGCGTTTTCGAATAGAAACAAAATTTCTAACCTCTCACTTCCATATAATACTAATACATATAACAATCTTTCAATCATCAATGGAACATATCTCATCATTACAAATACTTCCTGAACAGATTGATATTTACAAGTGCACCACGACGAAAATAATGTAATATTTTCAATTACAGTGACGCGTGTTGCGGTATGGAATACTTGGAAGGAAAGCGTGTCGTGCACCGTGATCTGGCGGCTCGTAACGTGCTCATATCCGCGGAGGGTACAGCTAAAGTGGCAGACTTCGGCCTGGCTAGGAATGACGCCACCATGGACGACCCCGCCGAGGCTGCGCGCCTACAGGCCAAGCTGCCCATCAAGTGGACCGCGCCAGAGGCCCTCAAGTACAACGTAAGTCAGTTTCATAATTTTAAATAGTAAATAAGAGAAGGCGTCGTGAAAGGTGGTAGAGGAATTTAAGATCCGAAGAACTGGTGATGCTAAGGCAAAGGTAAAAGCAATAAAATAGTAATGAGTAAGAGCCACGATCCGCCCATCCGGCTCCAAGGCCGTGTCGCCACACGGCCTTGGTTACCGAAGGTCCAATCCTTTCTGTCCGAAATTCCTAAATCTCTAAAACTCAAACAGTCGGTCGATATCACAATCGTAACTTCTATTGCTTACCATCAGGTAATCCGTCCGCTAGTTTGCCACATTATCTAGTTTACTTCTTTTGTTTCAGAAATTTTCTAACAAGTCTGACATGTGGAGTTTCGGTATTCTTCTTTGGGAGATATATTCATTTGGAAGAGTTCCCTACCCTCGAATTGTGAGTATTGAATTCAATAAATAAACATCAACATAAATTGTGTATAATTCCTTCTAGATACAGACAACTAGGACAGATGATTTTGAAGTGTTGCTTATTATTATTGACTTTAACCAGTGTAAAATAGAAAATGGTTGTTTTAGAAGTTCTAAAGAAACATTATTACATTTTCTATATTCCATATACCTACTTCAGATATTTGATCGTAATGAGTTGGAACTATGATGTAATACGTGTGATAGTATAGTAAGAGTATGCGTTGTGATATCCACAGCCCCTGGCGGAGGTAGTGCGGCACGTAGAACGCGGGTACCGCATGGAGGCGCCGGAGGGCTGCCCGGGCGGGCCGTACGAGGTGATGCGCGCGGCGTGGCACGCCGACCCGGCGGCGCGGCCCACGTTCGCCGCCACGCGCCACCGCCTCGCCGCCATACGCGACGCCGCGCACCATGCACAGCTCGCGCACGCCGCGCATCCCGCGCCATAGCATCCTCTACCGGTAATTATACACTTACCACCTACATCTAAGGTCATGCTACAATTATAAAAGTTACTCTGCCTCTGACCTAATTTCTCCGAAGTCCAGTCGGTATAACAAACCAAAATTACAGATCCTGTGCAACATAACTACAGACAAACAATTAACATTCGCCATTTCGTTAATGAATGTTCGTTATCGTTATTTTCAGTCATACTGCATATAAATATGTATATGTTACCAGCAAATGTTTATTCTACATCTTGTGTTATAAAAATGTCACAGTATAACTTTTACCCCCAGGGCAAACCGGCGGGCTATAGAGCACGGGACTTGATGAATTAGTGTAAAATGTACACACGGGAAAGGTATAGTGCTGTGACGGTGGCGAGATGTATTTTATATTAATTAATACATACTGTAAGTACTAAATTATTTTAATATGTTTGAAGACACTCCCTCGCTAAGAATATTTGTAATGTAGATTAGATAATGTGTAATTTTGATGTGTTGTACAAGAATGTGTGTGAGATGTTAGGTGTTGGAGGACCTTTTAGTGGAAATTATTCTACTTACCACATACTTAACATAAAACCAGATGACCATTATGTTAATCACTCCACGATTAGTCAGGGAATCAGGGATTTATTATCCATCTTCTGCTTTTTTTGTATCAAGTTTAAGACTTTATATCCTGGCTATATGACAGTGTATATTTAGTTGTAAGTGTAAAACGAACACAATAACAAAGCACAATTTATAAACCACAATTCCACTAAAAGATCTTTTATTAAATAAAATTTTATTGAAGGCCTAAGCTTCAATGTATGCTAACATATTCTCGTAAAGATTCCACCCAATAGAGGTCACGAAGGTTATGTCGGTACTATGGTACTGTCTAGTCAAAGTATTGTTTGTATCATATTATAGTATTTGCACTTTAATTAATCAAAGGGGACTGATTGCATACAAAACAAAACACACTACTGGTTGTAGAGATAAAAAAACGCTCAAAATATAATTTAACTAAATAAACTCCACGAATCAACAACAAGTATTAAAATTATAGATGTACTTGTGTGTTAGTTCATTTACTAGAAATTAATCAATTAAGTAAGGCAAGGACTCTTTCCGAGCACACTTGGAGTATTAAATGTAACATTCAGTGTTGTGTCAAAGGTTAATAGCAGCTGTTCGAGTGAGTTATTAATTCGTTACGACTACGTTAGCATCAAAGTCTGATAGTATAATTGTCTGAAACAATCAGTGCATTTGTGTTTAAAGTTCAATTAGTATCAATTGGTTGACACTTGTGTTATAGACTAAGATATGTTTAGCCATAGTAAGGTGAAGTTGTGTGAAACAACTAGGTTACAGGTTGTGTGCTATTCCTAAAGATAAGATTACCTTGTGTTGGGTACACGCAACACCTATAAACTATAATCTATTTGCGAACATTGCGTGCGATTTAAAATGGGTGTTTGGCGTTCATAACAAGGTACCCTAAATTCTTATACAATTCGATTGTATACAAAACGCATCTAACTATATGGTTGAATATTATTTACGGTAGTTGTAAAGAGTGCGTGAAACATGACAAGTAGTCTGAAGTAAGCCATGAATCTCAAGGAAATGCAAAAGTTCTATGTTAACGTTGTAAACTTTATAAAATCTTGCGTAAAATTGCTTATACGTGTTACGAAGGATACTAAATAAATATTGTACATGCGATGCATTACTATAAAGAATCGCCAATATATTTTTTCTGTGTTTCAGCAAGCTTAGAAAGTAAGATTGAGCATTTTAAAGAATGAGACTTAAAATTCAACTAGCACGTTTATTAAGTCCTTTTGTTTAATCTTATGCAATACTAGTTTTAAGTGTTAAATTGTTTTTACCATATATTTATGTTCTATCAGAAAATTTGTGAGAATTAAGTATGTAATGAAGCGATTCAAGTGCAAGACATTTGATTTCTGCCAAAGCATAGGAACTTGATATTTTTTGGTGTTTCCATTTAAGTCTTCCTTTTACTAAAATGTATTAATTTTTTATATGGAAACAAGATATTTTTAATAGATTGTACAACTGTTTACTAGTCTTTGAAGAGTAGTAAGGACTGAATTGTTTGCAGTTGTATTTTTATCTGTAATTTATATAAAAATAGTAAGAAGTAAGGTATTAAAATCTCAATTGTTTTTGTTTATTACTTGTACTATTATTTCAACAATGTAAATAGTTATTTTTAACTTTAAGGAATAAATTGTATTATAACAAAGTATAAATACCTAAAACTGTTTTTTATTCTTTCTCACTGAGACTGTCCCCACTGTAAATGCAGCAGTTGCTGTTACATTCCTCATTCAATTCCTCTTCACTATCAAAGTTCTGCGAAGGACTATATTTCATTGCTCTCTTGCTGAAAGCTGTGACAGGACGCCACGTGTCCGCTGTCTTAACTTCACATCGTTTCAGTATTGTGTCTGAATTCATTAACTGTATAGGCTTGCATGACTTACTGCACGGAGTCAGTATTGTGAGTTTCTTCATTCGGCATTTATTTTGTTCTTTACTTGGTATTGTGGTAGTTTCTATGGGGTTCGAGGAAGTGCAGCAATATTGGTCGTTATATGTGGCCATCGACTTATCGACAGTATGTACCTCGTCAACAGCTTCACAAACACAATTATCATGCGTGTTCTTTGCCTTTTTTCGTTTCGATTTCTTCTCTTTGGTGCGTTTGTTACGTTTTTTACTGAAGTCTTCACAGGAACAATCATCAGTTGAGATAGTATTATTACTTTTAGTGTGTAACTTACAGTCGCCTAGGGACTCCAAGCTCATAGTTTGCGTTACGTCATCTGTTTTCTGTGTACTCGATGGTTTAGCAGCCATGTTGCAGTGGCAAGGTTTACCACACACGACTTCATAGTGACACACTGTGTTGGTTATTGGCACTGTGTCCATCTGAACGTTGGCTGTCCCTTTGCATGGTGTTTCCTTACGTAAATTGGGGCAAAAGTAGTGTAAGTCGGTTGTTGAACTGCAACCGTCGTTGTGAAACTGCAATTTTGTAACAAAATATTAATTGTTCACATTTAATTCAAAGAAGTCGAGTTACCTGTATCTGCATACCTTAACTTGAAATCCATTATTACCAGTATTCATATGGCAATCGGAAGTAAACCGAAGTTTTGGAACTTCGTTCCGCTGACTTGAGAAAAATGCATTCTGAAGCTGAGCCAGAGGCACTCTATTATGAAAAGTAACTATAAGTAGAATGAAAGAGTATTCAAAGATGATTGATTTTAAATAATCCCATGATTTTAATCTGACACCGTTGTCCCATAAACACTGTTCCCTGAGGGCAGGCAGACTACTTAACGCAACCGGCTACAATTCTAAGACTTGGCTAATTTCTTTAATTTCCATAACATATATCTACATATTTACTAGCACGAAAAAATACATAACCATTTTTACTTACGGATTCGATATACTCCTAATGAACCATGTTCCAGCATTAATACTGTATGGTGAAGCACCATAGTTCGGATTGACAAAGTTCGGACCGCGTACATTGGAGTACGCGGGATAGTATGGAGGGACGTTAGGTATCCACCACTTGACGGTCGGTATGAAAAAGAACTGTATCGTCCCATCAGGTAACGTTACTGAGGTAACTTCCCCTTCTCCAACTATTTCTGGATATGTGGTTTGTTGTGCTAAAAATATATGTATAGGTACCTGAACTTAACAGAACAAAATATTCTCGAACAATGTCCGTAATTGGACGATTAGAGTAGGTAAAGTTGTAGCAACCTAAGTACATATTGCAAGTTATTGTCATTCTAATCTATGCAATCGTGTTGCAAGGATTTAGAAATTATCAAGCTATTAAAATTGACATAGGTATCTATTGTGATGTGTTGTGATTTGACTACTTCTTCAAGTAGGTAAAATATACAACAAAAGGAGAACAATGTGCTAAGTTGCTAAGGAAATTACTAACGTGCATTATTGTTGCAGGAACTATAAAATCCATTGGTGAAACCGGTTCCGCAAAAAGTTTGGTTGGACTGCATTATAATGGATTAAATTATTTCCTTCCTATTCTTCAACTCATATCTATAATGTTTTAATGCTTCTATGGTTTTAAAGTATCCATTTTTTTATAAATATATTGTTGTGAACATTTTGCCGTGCTGATGACTATGTGACTGACATATTGATGGTTTTTTTTACGTCTGGCTATAGATGCCATATATTGTCGATGTTGGTGTTGATATAAAAGATTAAAATTTAACCTATTTAGTGTACTTTGTTTTGTGAGGAAAAATCATTACTCTATCGCCCACTTCGCGACTTCTTGAAAATCCGTTCCTTTTCCTGCTTAAGGCAGAGGCAGCGGTGCCTTAATTGCTCATTCCACCTTATTGTTGCCTTATTACTAGGTACTTATAAATGGGGCCCTACAGGACCTCTATGTTTTGAACCTATTTTATGTACTCAAGCTTTATTTGAAGACTATTTGAAATGGCCTAGTCTTTGCCCGGTTGTCGCCGAGTTCAATTAATATCATCAATTTGTCAAGTTCAGATGATGCTAGACAACTTGTCTTTTACAACAGATACTCATCAACTGGCCCTAGGTCCGAAATGTCCGATTCGCTCAGACCTGAGACAAAAAATAAATAAATATTGTTTTTGACTTACATAATATACTTTTAACAAATAAAAAACTCTTTAGAATCCATATTTATAGATATATTTCGTTATTGTTATTGGTATCAAAATAGCAAATCCTTTGTGCAAAGTAGGTAACCGCTAAGCTTTATAAGCTCGATTCATATTTTTTTATACAAAAATGAGAATAAGCAGTTTTAATTACATACTACACAGTAGTATTAAATAACATTATTAATAAATTTACTCTTAATATTACATAACTATTTTAAGTATTAACTAAACACTGCGTTTCTTATATGGAAATTCACAATATATTCAGAGTTTGTTCGCTGTACACTGATGGCGAATGGGTCGGTTGGATGGAATGTGAATGCGACAAGTCTCCGCGCACTAGCTGGCACTGATTGTCCTAATACGCCCGCGTAAATCTTGAATTTTAGTAATCCCGAATCGCGAGCGTAGAATCTGTAAGTTAACGCAAAATAATGTAACAATTGTGATTGGAAAACATAACATTAATATTCTTCACGGTTTTATAACTCACCTTATGGGATATTCTCCATACGCTTTTGGTCTTTCCATAACGGAGACCCATTTGTCATCATAGCTGAATAGTCCTAGATCTAAATATGGAGATCCACTATAAGATTGCGCGCTGATCGGTAGCTGCGCTAGTATTCTTTTCGTGGCTTCGGTTCGTCCTCCATAAATAGCTCTAACTATAGTTTGTTTAAATCTCTGTTGTGTAAGCCTGGCATACAGATTATTAGATGGTGAGCAGGTGAACTGTGAGTCGGCACATAACCTGGCATTTCTAAAGCAGTCACAGTAGTTCTCAAAAAGTTGTAAAAGACCTTCTGATGTATTCTCATATACTTCTAATATTTTGCTTTCACTTATTTGGTAAATGACGAAAAACGATGACTGACTGTTGGGCTCTGCCACACGCAATGTAACGACTTCTTCACTGGCATACTTTATAAAAAGGTGATCTTCATCCAACAACTGCATCTTCCACATCCTAAGACTTTTGAACATGTCGAAATATTTGTAAAACTTCCTTAATTCAAGGGGGTCTCTAGACTCATCACTGATTGTCTTGGCCCTTTTAAAAAGGAAGACAAGTAATCTATGTTTTAGGCTATTAATTGTTTCTTCATGAAAGGGCCTTTCATTTGTTAATGGCACAAAAACAGAGTTCACTATAAATGGATCATCATCATAACAAAATCTACCTATTTTCCTTATTTCTATGAGCATTCCCTCCACAATCTGGAACAAGTGTATTGTTTGATGCTGTACTGATAGAACCGCTAAGACTTCTTTGTACAAATAAATCCCTTGATTATGAGACAGGTAAATTTTATCAATTCTAAAATGCTTTGTGTCACATAACTTGCCTTGATGTAAATCCACAAGATGGAGGGAATAATCTTCTAAAGCGGATCTAAAACAAAATACAGAAATATAGATCTAATCTCAAACAACAATCTGATTATTAATTCTATTACAATATTTTAACAAAATACCTGATAGTAGGAGTAACAGCTTCATTGTTGCTATGAATATGATAAAAATGTGGTCTAAGGTCATCAGGAATGTGAGCTGCTGATCCTACAATGACATATCTTCCATCCTCAGTAAACAGACTGCACTCACGGTTCAACTGTTGATCCATGAAAGGCATGTGACCAACATTGTTGCGTTCAGACCTCTGTACTTCTCTTTGTTGACACACATTAACAGTAAACTTTGGCTGAAAAATTCAGACAGACTGATATAAATACTGAGAGACTAGTAACATTTTAAGTAAAACTATACCGACTTCAAAATTGTATGTTCATTGAAATGCAGTCATGCAAGTTTTTTACCTTAAAAAACCTGTAAAATATATGAGTTCTAATTCTGTGGTGTGCATCAGCATCTGCATTAAGTAAATCTGAAGGGTATCCTGCAACTAGATCCCCGGCGGCAGAGGCGCCTCTGTACTCGTAGATCTGGAAAAACATTAGGAGTCAAGTTAGAACTCCAAAACAGTAAGTAATTAAAAAAGATGGTAAGAAAAAGAAGGAACATGTAAACAAATTATGTGTATACCTCCAAAGATGTTTGGTCAGCAGAAAATGCAATGAAATGCTTTCCATCCGGACTGAATTTCCTCAAGAAACATGGTGGTTTCTCTACATTCACAATAGTCAGATTTGGAAACACGTTTTGATAAAACTCTCTTACGACATGAAAGTGAGAGCCAGGTTTTCGGGAACCGTAAATTTCTCTATCCATAAGACGTATCACTAAGTTTTGAGGCTTAATTTTACGCGGCACTATTCTCTCGGTACAGAAGAATTCATCTTCGTTGAGAGCACCGGGCGGAGGATCTTCATAATACACTGGTTTAGCCTGACTGGTGGAAGCCATGATTTCTATCACCGTCTCACTTAGCTAGAAATTCAACCATTTTACACAGTATGTTTTAGTAAATAGAACGAAGTTTTTACAACTCGAGGCTGACGCCTGACGCTAAACAACAAAATTTAGAAAAATGGCGGATATCAGCTGATTGGTGACAGACATAAACATCGTCCTAAAACAAATACTTATTAATTGTATGTTTTCATGGAGAATCTATTTTCCATAAAACATCTATTATTGTCATAAACAGATGATCTTGTGTTAAGTGAATAAAACAAATTACCTAACCAATATTGATAAGAATTTCAAACATACGGAGTGTGTAAAATATTCAATAATTTTATGAATGTCATTTTCATTAACATTGCTGCATTGTCATAGAAAACGTGTGACAAACGAACAAACAAATGTCATCAAATGTCACAATTTCAGGTTATGTTGTTATATCACGGTGTTTATATCTGATTTCCTAAAATTTTGGAAATGATGCAAGAATTAAATGCCCGATTAGGTTCTATGTTTAATACCCTATCGTCTTTAAGCAAACGAAGATCATTTAAGTATGGTTTGCCCTTCATTTTATTTATGGTTGGAGGATCATTCGGTTTGCGAGAATGGACACAAATCAGGTGATTTTTACATTCTTTTCTAAACATAACGTGTCCTTTTAATTTAATTAGAGTCTTACTCTAATAGGATTCAAATTACCTCAGTTGTATAACAGAATTGTAAAATAGCGCGTTTACTAAGCCATAGAACTTGTATTAATATTTTTACATTGCTTCCTACTATAATCTTATCGATAAGTTTTTGTCAGTCTTTGTGTATGGTTTTAAATTATGTACAAAATTAGAACACTACATTCAAATGACCATAATATATTAAATATTACTTATAACAAGACCTAACAATTAGATTTTTATCTCATTTAGTTGATTCAGCAATTGTTTTTAAAAAATGACCAAAGATAAGGTCTTATCCTAAATGTTGATAATCATAATTATTATAATTATTTCGAAAACCCTGATGAATCAATATATATTATGTAAAAGTTATTGACAATTTAGTGATATAAATCATATTTATTAATGTTATTCACAAGTGTTACTCAAACATATATGAGTACATATTTTGCAAAATTACAAGAGTGGAGATAATAATATAATATTAAGAAATAAAGAACATTGCCCAAATTTTATGATAAATATTCAGACATTGGACTACTTAAATTCCAAATCCTCTTTATCTTTGAATTAAAAACACTCATTTTGACTGAGTTTTTTACATGAAAAGAGTATTTTTGATAGAATAACATTATTTATTTGCTTTTTGTAGATATCAATTTTCTAAGGTTAAAGGTGTGAGTAAAGAGGAAGCACAAAAAATGGGACTTAACAAAGACAAGGATGTCACTTTAGAACAAACTTATGAAGAAATACAAAAACTTGACATAGACAACTGGGAGAACAAGAGAGGACCTCGTCCATGGGAAACTATTGAAGAAAAAAAGAAGTGATCGGGAAGCAATTCAATAAAGTGTACTATTCCTATTAGTCATAAACCACATAGTTATTTGGATTATTGATGTAAATATTGTTAATTCTTAGTTTATTTTAATAATAATTACTGTTGATATGATGACAATGCTGCTGTTTTAATAATGACCAAAAGTTACATGATTTTATTTAGAAAAACACAATTACTAATCTATACTAATATCATAAAGCTGTAGAATTTAGAATTTGTTTGTTTTGTTTTTGTGTTTGTTAGCCCATTTATCGAGGAAGATTACAGGCTATAAAACACTACGCTACGATCTGTAGGAACCGAGCATAGTTAATAAACAAGTATATCTATTATTTCTATTATTTGGTGGTCTTGGCAAAGAAACAACTAATTAATTACATAATCAGTAATGGACATCATTAAAATGCCATTCTGTATGTGGCAATGTTATCAGCTTGGCTACAATCAACTATTCATAATTATATGTATAAGATAAACATTACATTGTTTAACAATAACAAAGTTATCCAGTGAGGAAACCCCCGCGTGTCGTCATTGTGAGGACTACCTAGAGCATACGGTGGCGGTATGCCCTGACTGGGCTGAGCACCGCCGTGTCCTCAGGGATGTGATCGTGATGGTGCGGAGCGAAAGGAACTGAGACGCCGTCTCCTCCTTCTGTGAAGCAGTTATGCTCGCAAAGAGGGAGGCGGCCCGCGTGAGGGAGCAATCCTCCTCCTCACGCCCCAGCCGCCGCAACAGGCGACACTATGGGTGCGGGCGTCAGGGATCAAGGGACGATCTCCGGCCACCGTAAGCGCGGATAAGGGTAACTCGCCGCCCGACCAGAACCACACCCGAGCCACAGTAAAAATATCATACAGTATTGTAACTCGGCCGCTTGAAAGAAATAAATACCTACAGCCGCGCGGTACGTAAACATGCGTTAGGGCTGCTCGTCTTCAGTATTTTAATTACCTTTGTCTACTTTCTGTTTCCATTTAGTTTTGCGATTGTAAATATCCTTTTTTTTTATAAACAAATAAAGTGCTTTAAAAATAAACAAACAAAATTTCTTTGGCCACCAATGCCGAACTGAACAGCTGACTACGAATGTTCTAAAATCACAACCCTCAAACATCAAAATATTTCATGAGTCTAGCTGTTATTATTGTTGTTCATTATTAAAACCGAGAAAAAAAACAGACTTTATTGGTATTATGTTGCTAAAGCAGCAGCAAAAACTCTTTATGATCGAAAACTATCTAATGACACAGAGACTGCCAAATTTATTTTTTCTAGTATTATTCATAAACACAGATAATAAACAAATATTATTAATAATAAAATACCACACTCTCTACTTTGAATTATACAAACTAACAAAACATACATGAACCGTTTTAACACAAGCGTAAGTAGGTAGGTACCTCACGTATCATGATTCATTCAGAACCAGAACCGCCTATAACTACCTATTTCACTCGTCTCAATAACTTTATTCATTTTATTTATAAATTCAAACACCTGTTTTCGTGAGATAAAAGGAAATAATGATCCATTATAAAGACACACATTATGTACCTACCTAGGCTACTAGTAAGTAAAATTATTTTATACTTATGTCTGGATGCGTTATTGACGAATTCATGCAACCAAACACAGCACAATATTTCCTACATATTAAATAATGTACTCGAGCTGATTTCTAAATAAAAGACAGCACACCGTCCGCTCGTCACTGCGGTACAGCCGCGTCTGTCTGCGTCCCGAGCGCGTCCCGACATCGGGCGCGTAGGTATAGTTCGCGTTTCGGCCGTTTCTATGAAGTTGGAATACTTGTAGATATTATTACCTTGCCCGAGCGTACGGCGCATAGCGTTCCGCGCGCGCCTCAAAGAGCCAATAGACCACCACAGACGGGGCCGGGGCCCTATACAGCTAATGTTCAGCCGGGGTTGCAGGATAAGCGCGCAGGAGAAGGAACAGGGGGGTTTTTAGTCAGTAAGAGTCTGACACTCCCTCCCACCCGGCCCTGGGCGGGAGAAGTAATTTGATGATTTTGCACTCACAAAAAAAAATTACAAAGTATTCTTCTATTCAAAGAGGACCATCTAATTGTATGTCTTACTGCTTATGTGGTATGTATTTCAAGAATCTGATATATTGGATTGCCCAGAGGTTAAGACCCCCTTTCTCATGCATGAAGGCGTGGGTTCGAAACCTGGCAAGTAGCAATGTGACTTTCAGAATTACGTGTAGGTACCTACTTTCTATGATTAATTTAATTAGACATCACTGACATACAGTGCGGCCGACGTATCTTGGCGAGTCTGAAGTGAGCCGTTTGTCTGCGCAATGGATCTTTTAGGAACAAAATTGTGTACTGCTAACTTCAGACTCGCCAAGGTACGTCGGCCGCACTGTACCTACGTAGAAGGCGTGTGTAAATATATGACTATTCCTCTTCACTCGTTATCTATTACAAAAACCGTATCAAAATCCATTGTGTATTGTCAAAGACTTAAGCATACCGTACATAGGGATATAGATACATACCTATACCATACATAGGGATCAAGGGAGAGAAAGCTTCTTTGTTTTAAACTGTGTAGTGTTGATGATGATGCGGGAACAAGGAAATATTAGCTGTGTGTAAAGCTACTAAAATAGCAATAACACATTTGTTTTTGCATCCAATTTTTACTAGAAAGACGAAAAATATGTGAGTCTTAATTCAAATAAAAAGTTGAATCACCATGCCTAGAATAAAAGAAAATTGTTTGAAAACAAATAAGTACCCTTATCATCATTATGTCCAGGAATTCTGTTTACGCGCGCAAAATATTTACTTGGATATATAAATTTGGCACTACACCAAAAACGAAGTGTTTTAGCGTCAATCCGAACTACAAAATCATAAGTTTAATAGCCTTGCACTGCCATCAAATAAAGTGCGGTATTAATAGTTACTGAATACCTACACCCAATAGTTCCGCGTAGTATGTAGGTATTTCAATGCAATGTACGCAACGATGAACACGTGCAACCTCGACAAAAATATTTTTCATTTAAATCTTGATTTTTATAAAGACTGTCGATCTCTCTGAAAAGTCGGAAGTATTCGGTGTGCTCAATAACACATTCGGTGTGCTCAATAACGCTGTTTTAATACTATTCAACACACCTATGTTCTACATATTTTTATAGACCGTAAAAATAAGGCACTAATTACACATTCACGTCTATACGTTCGCGTTAGTTCCTACTGTAATTTGGTAACTGTACCTACTTTTTTTATAATTTCAACTCCAACTATTGACTTTTCTAGATATGAGTAGATTGATCTCTGCCAGCGAGAATCAAACCCTTCTTGTAGAGATTCTATAAGAGAAGCTTCTAGCCGGCCGAGTCTTCTCATCTTTTCATACGGAGGCTCTGTTGCACCTGGTTACCCTGGTTGGTACACGTAAAATACCACGACTGTTAACGTGGTATTTATTTTATTGCCTTTTTACCACGACAATTATAGTCGTCCTCTCTATGAATACATAAAGCGCCTGTCTAAAGCGCAATAAAAGTGTGAAATGTTAGATCTATAGGTACTCTTTTCTTTCTTAATAATAGCTAATTACGCAGGTAACTTCGCAGGAAGGTACCTACACTATATTTATTCTTCATATACAGTTTTGTATTTATAAAATCAATGCTATTGTTCTAAATTTTATTGTGATTTGTGAACAATAGAATAGGTAGGTATGTAATGCAGATAATACGCTTCTAGAGTGATGTGGAGGCGATAGAGGCTAGCCTGTTTACTGTTTATCAGATAATATTAAAATATTTGAATAACTATCACGTTTTTCTACTTGTTTTAATAGGTATTTATGATAATGACCGGAAGGACCTCGCGCCGGAGCATCGGCCGACTGACACAAAATATTACTTTTCATTTTAGCCTAATCTGAGTTGTCTACAAATTGCGATGAAAGAATCTAATCTAATCCTATATACGAAATATCTAGGTACCTATAAAGCGGACACACCGGGCGAGACCAATGCGGCCGCTTATAAAGCTTACTATTGAAAATACTTACCACGAACCAAAATTTTATAGGTACCTAGGTTGTTTTTTTTAAACACTCTTAGCGACGATTGCGATTGAGCTGAGCGTTTAAAAAAAATGTTCCGTAAATGTGTTGAATTGTAATTTGTAAATGGTACCTAGTTTACCTGCCAGTTACATATTTTTTTTATCACAAATTACTATAAACATTCTATAATTATATTTGCGAAGAAATTACAATGACGCCTTACATCGCCGAGGTTGTTGACTTTTTGTCGCGTCTCGTCTGGAATCCAATTCTGTCTAAACACTGCAGTACTGTAGATATTTCTAGGATTAAATTCATTAAATATATATGTATTATATCTTACCAGGGACCAAGAAACAAAAATCTTATGAAGGGAGAAAAAAGTAAAAACTTATGAACTTATTGCACAACAATTTCACTTCGACGAACACGTAGGTATGATCCCCTTAAAATGATGAGTCACGAAATCATACTAGGTACCTACCTATTATACGTAGATAGGTACCTATGTGTAATTATTGTACTTTTAGGTATAGCTTACTGTATTCAGTATCTGATGCAATTTTACTCATTTATTAGTTACTTACAAACTTGCATAAAGTACCTTTATACGTTCGTACTAGGTAGGTAGGTACTGTAAATCAATGACTGTAACTGCTACCAACTTCGGTGAGTACTCGGTTATCCATTCATTGACCTATTGACCTAATAGCTGGTATGTACGCAAATAGCTTAGGCAGGAAATTCTGGAGCGACTTTACGAGCGAAGTTCCTAATATATATTGCTACAAGTAGGTAGGACTGTACAAGACCTTCAAAACTTCTAGGGACGTTTGTTTCCTTTAACTGATTTTATGAACCTTACAATATTTTAAGCAGAATGATAGGTACCTAAAATAAAATAATAAAAATTACTTTATGGCTACATCTTCTCCGTACAAACTAATAACAAAATGTGTTATTTCCCTTTACCGACCGAATGGCCGGATTCCAAAATGTAGCACGTTCCGCTGTGCTGTGCAAACTAGACTTTTAGATACAAATCCAAAGTAATAACTTGTAATGGAATTGTTAAATCAATACCTAATCAGGATATGAGGGATACTCTCCTATTCATTAGATAGATATGGACATAAACAATCCTATTCTAATCAAGTTCTATATTTTATAAGGATAACATTACCATCCTTTAAGTACCTACCTATTTATTTTTTCTAAATGCGTTTTTTCTTTTCTGATTATAATTATATTAGCAGGCTCAGAGTCGTAGGTTTGCTAAGTATGGATATGAAAGGTAATTATTTAGGTACTTAATTATGTTTAGGTAGGTACCTATAATATTGAATCCTGCAATTTTTGTTATTACCTACTAAAACTTGTTAGGTATTTAAAATCCCTAGTGCTATGTACCTACTAAATTACTTTTGAAACAATTGGTACATCTAACTGATGATAATAACAGAAAACATCGGCTTTGTTTTGCGTCGAAACTCTGTTTTTATTATTATTGATCGCTATGATTCGCAGAACGCAGAATCCGCTTTGTTTTGTTAGGGCTTCCACCCGTTCCAGACCAAACAGTTTACGTCACAAAGGAAAAGAAACAACACATGCGTTCTAGAACGTACTTATTGTCTCTATCTTTTCACAAGTGCTAAAAAGAGACAAACAAAGCTTCGGCTATCTTCGGCATCATCTTCGTTGTGCTTCGCAACATCGATTTGGCCTGAGACCGTGTCTATAAAAAGCGTACATCGCTGCTCGAAGCGCATTTCAAAACGAGAAATTGAAAAAGGAATTCACAAGCGTGTGACTTTTAGAGTTGTTCGTCAGAGATACTATTTTATTGAAATTTTGTGTTATAACAAACTAAATTCTAGTGATTAAATTGGTAAGTGTTATTTTTAATTTATTTTATAAGTGTTTAGTGTTTTTGTTTTCTCGAGACATCGATGTTGAAAAGTGAATAGATAGAAAGTGAACTGCGCAGTTTTATTATTGATTAGACGCCATCTTGATTTTAACGGTGTTCACTGGAAGCAAATTTCACTTTATCACTAAAGTTAAACATAAATTCAAGCATGTCTTCTGTTTAAAAATAAATAAAGCTGTAATTATAATGCTCAAATTCTAAAGTTATTGTTAATGAAGACAAAATAAATCTTAATTAGTGAAGTGCCCTTACATTCTTCGTCATTGTCGTTTTCTATTGGATATAAGTAATAAAAAATTAGGTAATTATTTCTTGCTCTCAACCTCATCGGGGTAAAATATGATTGAAGTATGGTTTTACGACCTACTTTATGGGAATTCACTTGCTGAACCGTCTAAACTAAGTTGTCATCAAAATATTGTAATAATTACAAAACAGTTTGTACGGTCGGTGGTTCGTCCCCATTTCTGATTATAATCTCCATGACCTACTTATCAATGTTAGCTTTGTAACAATAGTAAATTTTTTGCAGTAAAAAAACAGTTATGAATGAAAAAATCAAATAGCTAACATTTTTTGAAATGTTTGGATTGGCTTTTTACTACTCTGTATGTTAGTACATTTGTTAGAAACTGGGTATTAGATATGTTTAACCAAATTAAACAACAGGGGTCTACTTAGTTAGTTTAGGCAGTGTCATCGTTATTAGTCATACTCATAGTCATGTCAAGGGAGATAAGTGATTCATAATCGTTTACCTTGTAAATTGTGAAATTCTGTTGATGTTAACCAGCATTTCTTTTTCAATTACAGACAACATGCAGATCTTTGTCAAGACCCTGACTGGTAAGACCATCACACTTGAGGTCGAACCTTCAGACACAATCGAAAATGTCAAGGCCAAAATCCAAGACAAAGAGGGAATCCCACCTGACCAGCAGCGTCTGATCTTCGCCGGTAAACAGCTGGAAGATGGCCGCACACTCTCCGACTACAACATTCAGAAGGAGTCGACTCTTCACTTAGTCCTGCGTCTGCGTGGTGGTATGCAAATCTTTGTCAAGACATTGACTGGTAAGACCATCACATTGGAAGTCGAACCCTCTGACACAATTGAAAACGTCAAGGCTAAGATTCAAGATAAGGAGGGAATCCCACCTGACCAGCAACGACTGATCTTCGCTGGTAAACAGTTGGAAGATGGCCGCACACTCTCTGACTACAACATTCAGAAGGAGTCGACTCTTCACTTAGTCCTGCGTCTGCGTGGTGGTATGCAAATCTTTGTCAAGACATTGACTGGTAAGACCATCACATTGGAAGTCGAACCCTCTGACACAATTGAAAACGTCAAGGCTAAGATTCAAGATAAGGAGGGAATCCCACCTGACCAGCAACGACTGATCTTCGCTGGTAAACAGTTGGAAGACGGCCGCACACTCTCTGACTACAACATTCAGAAGGAATCCACTCTGCATTTAGTTTTACGTCTGCGTGGTGGTATGCAAATCTTTGTCAAGACCCTGACTGGTAAGACCATCACACTTGAGGTCGAACCTTCAGACACAATCGAAAATGTCAAGGCCAAAATCCAAGACAAAGAGGGAATCCCACCTGACCAGCAGCGTCTGATCTTCGCCGGTAAACAGCTGGAAGATGGCCGCACACTCTCGGACTACAACATTCAGAAGGAATCCACTCTGCATTTAGTTTTACGTCTGCGTGGTGGTATGCAAATCTTTGTCAAGACCCTGACTGGTAAGACCATCACACTTGAGGTCGAACCTTCAGACACAATCGAAAATGTCAAGGCCAAAATCCAAGACAAAGAGGGAATCCCACCTGACCAGCAGCGTCTGATCTTCGCCGGTAAACAGCTGGAAGACGGCCGCACACTCTCCGACTACAACATTCAGAAGGAGTCGACTCTTCACTTAGTCCTGCGTCTGCGTGGTGGTATGCAAATCTTTGTCAAGACATTGACTGGTAAGACCATCACATTGGAAGTCGAACCCTCTGACACAATTGAAAACGTCAAGGCTAAGATTCAAGATAAGGAGGGAATCCCACCTGACCAGCAACGACTGATCTTCGCTGGTAAACAGTTGGAAGATGGCCGCACACTCTCCGACTACAACATTCAGAAGGAGTCGACTCTTCACTTAGTCCTGCGTCTGCGTGGTGGTATGCAAATCTTTGTCAAGACCCTGACTGGTAAGACCATCACACTTGAGGTCGAGCCTTCAGACACAATTGAAAACGTCAAGGCTAAGATTCAAGATAAGGAGGGAATCCCACCTGACCAGCAACGTCTGATCTTCGCTGGTAAACAGTTGGAAGATGGCCGCACACTCTCGGACTACAACATTCAGAAGGAATCCACTCTGCATTTAGTTTTACGTCTGCGTGGTGGTATGCAAATCTTTGTCAAGACCCTGACTGGTAAGACCATCACACTTGAGGTCGAGCCTTCAGACACAATTGAAAACGTCAAGGCTAAGATTCAAGATAAGGAGGGAATCCCACCTGACCAGCAACGACTGATCTTCGCCGGTAAACAGCTGGAAGATGGCCGCACACTCTCTGACTACAACATTCAGAAGGAATCCACTCTGCATTTAGTTTTACGTCTGCGTGGTGGTATGCAAATCTTTGTCAAGACATTGACTGGTAAGACAATCACATTGGAAGTCGAACCCTCTGACACAATTGAAAATGTCAAGGCCAAAATCCAAGACAAAGAAGGAATCCCACCTGACCAGCAGCGTCTGATCTTCGCCGGTAAGCAGCTGGAAGATGGCCGCACACTCTCCGACTACAACATTCAGAAGGAGTCGACTCTTCACTTAGTCCTGCGTCTGCGCGGTGGTATGCAAATCTTTGTCAAGACATTGACTGGTAAGACCATCACACTTGAGGTCGAACCTTCAGACACAATCGAAAATGTGAAGGCCAAAATCCAAGACAAAGAAGGAATCCCACCTGACCAGCAGCGTCTGATCTTCGCCGGTAAACAGCTGGAAGATGGCCGCACACTCTCTGACTACAACATTCAGAAGGAATCCACTCTGCATTTAGTTTTACGTCTGCGTGGTGGTATGCAAATCTTTGTCAAGACCCTGACTGGTAAGACCATCACACTTGAGGTCGAACCTTCAGACACAATCGAAAATGTGAAGGCCAAAATCCAAGACAAAGAAGGAATCCCACCTGACCAGCAGCGTCTCATCTTCGCCGGTAAGCAGCTGGAAGACGGTCGCACACTCTCCGACTACAACATTCAGAAGGAATCTACTCTTCATTTAGTTCTTCGTCTTAGAGGCGGCATGCAAATCTTTGTTAAAACTTTAACTGGAAAAACAATCACTTTAGAAGTTGAGCCATCGGACACCATAGAAAATGTAAAAGCAAAAATCCAAGACAAAGAGGGAATTCCACCAGACCAACAAAGATTGATTTTCGCCGGCAAGCAGTTGGAGGATGGACGCACACTTTCTGACTATAATATACAAAAAGAATCCACACTTCATTTAGTTTTAAGATTAAGAGGTGGAATTTAAAAATGTTCTTCTGAAATAAATTTCTTCTGAATGTAGTAATGTATTTTTTATTTTATGCACACAAAATAATAAGTTGGTAGGTATACCTATATACAGCGAACCTAATGGCCATATGGTGACATCATCTATCTACCACTCAACCTTTCTTTGGAATAGCAATCATCGAAAAATAGCTACCCACGGAAGATTGCACTGAAACAATGAATTCATTTTTGCAAATAGGCCATAAAACTACACTTTTACACGTCAAATTATATGTGAAAAACTAAATGAAGCCAGCATTTCCTATCGGACTACTATGATAAAAAAAAAATAACAATGTGAGAGAACCGTGCAAGTTCATTCTGTAGTGGTCTTTTGAGGAAAGAACCCCACCAGTTTAACTGGACCCGTTCTGAAGACAGGCACGCAAGTGTCAGTTTGCAACCAGTACGTATAGCTAGTGCTGCTGAGTGCACTGCGAGAGGGAATGTCAGACTTACTTAAAACTTCCCCTGTTCTTTCTCTGGGCCAAGGCCTTATTGCACTAGCTCCGCAACCCATCGTTTTCTTGAAATGAGATCGTGCCACCGACTTCTTAACTTCTATCAAAATAGTATGATGAACTAACACGACTTATGTTTCTCATGCTACTAACCACAGAACAGATAACTAACCTATCTAAAAATAGCTAGTCAGCCCTCACAAGATATGCATCTCGCCCTTATTCAGTTCAGCTTACGCCGTCAGGCAACACCCAGCCCTGTGCGTGTCGCACCTAGATTATAACAAACAAATTCCTATAATTAATTTTAATATTCCGTAAAACGTGGTGAATAGGTATTGGCGAAAAAAAGTATCACCTACCTATTGAAGAGCTATAGGTACTTTCAATCACCAGTTCATTCACACACATGACATGATGATAATCAGACGCCAATAGTTCAACGACTTTAAGACTAAGTTTAGTGGTTATAGTTCGGGCACGCTACTATAGCAGCGGTAAGACCCCTCTTTGAGGAGTGGCTTGAGAGACGCCACGGCGTCCTCACCTTCCGCCTGACGCAGGTACCGGGCACGGCAGCTTTGGTAGGTTCCTGTTTCGGATCCAGCGGGAGGAAACGTCCGAGTGTCGTCATTGTGAGGATCACCTGGAGGACACGGTGGAGCATACGGTGGCGGAGTGCCCTGCTTGGGCTAAGCACCGCCGTGCTTTCAGGGAAGTGATCGGCGGCGGCGACCTCTCGCGCCCGGCCTTATTCGAGGCCATGGTGCAGCGTGAGGGGAACTCGCAGAGGAGGAGGCGGAGCGCGTGAGGGAACTATCCTCCTCGCGCCCCAGCCGCCGCAGAAGGCGACATTCTGGACGTCGGGGATCGAGAGATGACCTCCGGCCACCGTAAGCGCGGGTCTGCGGACGGCGAGTAAGGGTAGCTCGCCGCCCGACCAGAACCGGACCCGAGCGTACGCCGCGTAGCGTTCCGCGCGCGCCTCAGAGCCAATAGACCACCACAGTCGGGGCCCTAAAGGGCTGATGTTTAGCCGGGGCTGCGGGGTAAGCGCAATGAGGCACCGCGACCTCGGCCCGGAGCAGGAGAAGGAACGGGGGAAGTTTTAAGTAAGTCTGACATTCCCTCTCGCAGTGCACTCAGCAGCACTAGCTATACGTACTGGTTGCAAACTGACACTTGCGTGCCTGTCTTCAGAACGGGTCCAGTTAAACTGGCTTACCCTCTCTCGCCTTACCCTGGGCGTCTCCCGCCCAGGATAAGGCGAGAGAAAGTGTAGTCATTCGATGATTTTCCCCTGACAAAAAAAAAGTGGTTATAGTTGAGTGTTCTCTATTCCCCTAGGACCTCCTCAGATCCTGACTAGACCAACCGTAAAAACTAAAATATAAAAGAATATCCTCCTTCTTCCATTTTTTGGGAAGTAATTTAAAAAATTCGACAGTCGGAGATAATTGACGGTCTGGGAAGTTGTCCAGCAACGTTCCATTTGAAAGTCATAACTCTACCATGCTGCTTACTGTAAGATTAGCTACTTTTTAAATGTTCATATTTCTAGCTAGCCTCACAAGATGCTGACTTCTCAGCGGAGGGTGGACAGACATTGTTTGTATATGAGCTTCTGAAATAAGGACACAGGTACTTTCGAAATTCGAAATTCTGGGATAATTATGTATTGAAATTTCACTCCAGAACTTAGGGATTTAGTTTCCAAGGAAGGTACAAACCTTCCTTGGACATTAAACATTGTTTCAATGTCCGAAGGATATTCCTTCATTTTATGGAATATCGCTTATCTATAAAAGATAGCCCGCGAGAATTTGAATTTCCAACACTTTTTAACTATTATTTAAAGCTCAGTATCGAATAGTGTTGCGTGTACCTTAAAGAAAATAATAGCTAATAGACCACCACAAATGGGGTTGATGTTCAGCCAGGGTTTCATTCCAGCGTAATAAGGTACAGTGGCCATGGCGCGTAATGTCAGCCTAGAACAAAAGAAGGGACGGGGATTTTTAGTTAGTAAGCGTCCGATATGCTCTCTCACCCACCCTGAGCGAGAGATGATTTGGTGATTTTTTTCCCATAACAAAAAAGGTTTAGGAGATTTAGGATTTAGAGGAGGAGAAGGATTGAACTTCAATCACACGGCGTAACTCGTTCGAATTTCGAAATTCGTTCACCCACACTTTCCCACATTTAATTGCGCCTATTTTTAAACTGTGTCATTTTTCATGTGATAATGTTAATACATACAACATGGTATAAAAACATGTGCCTGCTTTAAAAGCTTCTGCTATGATTTGCTTTTAGTTAAGGAACTAAAAAAATCATTTGGTTAAGACATGTGATATTTGAACACGAATATCAATGATTATCCATCCGTAAACGAGTGACTAAATAGACAAGTACCCCCAGTGATCAAAGTGGACAGAAGGCATGGCAAGAATATCAACAATAATCAGACTGAGCTGTCAGATTTGAAATTTCAAATAAAAATCACCACAAACGGGAGCCAACATTATTAGCTGACAATTTGTTTTGGATTATTTTAGAGTATATGTGTGGAACATTATGTTATGATAAATATTAGTCACAGTTTCTGCAATATTAATGCTTTTGATGATATTAATTTTTTTATAAATTAAGTTAAAATTTTACGATGGAGGAATCGATTCTGCGGTATGAAAAAATTGACTTCCTTGGGGAGGGACAGGTAATTTACATTGTCCTACCATATTAAAGTTATACCAATGTTTGAACATACATAATGTACAAACATTGTATTATATACCTAAATTTTATAACCTCTTAAACTTTGTTATAGTTTGCCACTGTCTACAAAGCTAGAGATGTGAAGACGGATAAAATTGTGGCAGTAAAGAAGATAAAAATAGGCTCCCGTCTCGAGGCTCAAGACGGTATCAACAGAACAGCTTTGAGAGAAATAAAGCTGCTGCAAGAGTTGCAGCATATCAATCTCATTGGATTATTAGGTAAAACCTTTTACTAACATTACATTTCTGATAATTGTGAATATGAATAACATGTTATCAAACCACCTGAGTAGTCTGTATTAGATATTGATTGGCAGTCAGCTTAATTACGAGAAATATTAGAGATAGATATTAAGATTGTTTCAAGAAACAAACTATCAATCGCAATAATTTTGAAACTGTATTAAGATGATGCCCTCATCCTCATAATCACTGTTACTATAAATAAGTAAATATTGAAATCCTTTTGAAATTGTGTATTTTTCTCTTTTACAGATGTATTTGGACAAAAATCAAATGTATCATTAGTGTTTGACTTTATGGATACAGATTTAGAGATCATTGTTAAGGACAATACTATAGTACTCACTCCGGCTAATGTTAAAGCTTATATGATTATGACTTTAAGAGGTAAGACATTTAAAAAACCATTAGTTCTACTGTTTAGATGAACACAAACAAATCCCCTTTTTACCTTTCCCCTTGGGTGAGAGGTCATTTGACAATTTTTCCTCCCACAAAAGAATAAGATGGAAAGTATGTGTTAAAAATTTAATTGCCGTTTCACATATTACATTTGCAGGTTTAGAATATTTACACCAGAATTGGATTTTACACAGAGACTTAAAGCCTAACAACTTACTCATAAATCGTGAAGGAATTTTGAAGATTGGTGATTTTGGTCTTGCAAAGGCCTTTGGATCTCCAACCAGAATAAATACTCATCAGGTGGTCACCAGATGGTACAGGTAATGATTAGCTTTAAACCTACAGTTATATTTGCTAATTGCAAAATATAGACAAACCCATAACCCTGATAATTTATAGCTCCTTCCTAGAGAAAGCCTATGAGCTTTCTTAAATGCTATAGCTACAAGAATATAGCATTTAATTTTCGTAACATATTATATTATTATATTGAAATAAATTTATTCCAAATAAACAATTTATTTGGAATAAAATTTATTTCACATCTTTACACATCTTCAAGATATTTGTAACTTTCATCGGCTACTTCTGTAGTTGAATATAGAAATTGCAGAATATGAAATGACTTAGGGTAGTCATCATATAGCATTATTGCAAAGTTAACTTTTTTTTATAATGTAAATGTATTATGGTCAACATATCTATGAACATAAAATAAAGAATAAATAAATAAACATGTAAATTATATTCATACCAAAATTGACATCTGCTTATCTGATACTTGAGATAGTGAGTTCCTTTAAAAACTGTATATTAGCGTTATAAATTCACAAGAAATTCCTGCGTTATCTATAAATGTAAACTAATACTTATGTTATTGACTTTTATTTTGTAATGTGTATTTTATTTCAGATCTCCAGAACTATTGTTTGGAGCTAGACAATATGGAACAGGCGTAGACATGTGGGCTATAGGTTGTATATTAGCTGAACTGCTGCTGAGAGTCCCATTCTTACCTGGAGAGTCTGATCTGGACCAGCTTTCGCGCATCTTTCAAGTGTTTGGCACACCAAGTGAAGAAACTTGGCCAGTGAGTGTTGAGTTCGAAATAAAATCTACTTCATTTTAATCATTGTCAAATTTTTTGCCAGTATCGTAATTGAGTAATTGTTCCCATCAATTTAACAGAAATTAATGATGTCATTATCAACTCAAAATTTACAATTGTGTTTATTGAAATACAACTAAAGATTTTATTAAATTTAATTGCACCACTGTTTATGAGCAATCAAATAAAATATTGATAATAATAATTAACTAAGATGCTTAAACATGGAAGGAGAATTATTTGTTGAATAAATGTTAAAGTTTTTCAATATTACTGATAGTAACAAATTACAACAAACTACATTTTTTGATTTTTCTTCATTTTTGATCCAGGTTATGATGTAATGATAGTTCACAAAACCAAAAAACTACACCTCCATATTAGTTTTTTTTTTATATTTTCAGGGTATGAAGAACCTAACAGACTATGTGCAGTTCAAGCATTTCCCACCGCAACAGCTACGCCACATCTTTAGCGCCGCATCAGACGATCTCATCCAACTTATGGAGAGCCTCCTTGCTCTCTATCCTCCCAATCGGTGTGACTGCACGCAGGCTTTGCAGATGCCGTATTTCAGGTATTTTTTTATAAAGGCATAATTTCGGCAGATTCGGGATTTCAGCACTTATCTACTAAGTCTACTTATCATCTATTTCAAAAATACCTAGTACTAAATGCCTAATAATAGGCACTTTTTAATGTCACACAAAATAATTAAATATAAAAATATCGCTAACATTAAATTATTTTGTTAGTTAACTGATTCCAAAAGGAGTAAATTTCTCATTCAAAAATAAAAACAGAATTTGTTATTCAGTTCTCCTAATATTCTTGCTGTTCTGTGTGGGATTGATTTGACTGTCGCGGGTTTGATTCCCGCATAGAACTACTGTTAACTTTATGTTTCAGAAATTGTTCAGGATCTGGGTGTGATTTTGTTTTTAGGTGCACCCACAATACTGTAAACTTGTATTGCTTAAATTATACATAAACTAATAACAAAATATTTTTTACAGCAACAAACCAGCTCCATCAATAGGCTCTAAGTTGCCTATGCCTTCCAACATAAGCAAAATAGAGGCTGACAAACCATCGCTGAAGAGGAAACTGCTGGAAAATATTGATGGTGGTTCCTTAGCAAAAAGACTACAGTTTTGACTAGCAAACAACTTAAGACATTCTTAGTACTTGCTGGACTTAGTACAATGAAAGTGCAATTTACCTTTTAATATGATTGTTGATTATAATGATGTTGACATTAGAGGTAAAGCTAGATAAAACATGTAATTAAATATGATTGACAGATAATAATACCTCATGCAAAGAGGTGCTTATTCTATTAATTAGTTCCACTGTCTAAGATATATTGTAACCTTGTATTTATAGTATTTCAGATGATTTTTATGTTATTGTGATTAATCAAAAAGCAGACTACTTTAGCCATTTAATAGTGTCTTTGTGTAACATTACTATAAAACTTCGAATTTGTGTATTATTTTGTGACCTCATGTAGTTTTTTTGTGATTGTTTAAAATGTTTCCACTAAAACAGAAATTGACAGAACTGAACTGCTAAGACTTGCTTACATTAAATACAAAACTTTTAAATGATAAGAGAAAATATAGATTTGATATTAAAAAATACTTTTATTTATTAAAAACAATGATAACTGTAAAATAAAGTACAGTACATATAATATTTCATGTTATAGCTTATTTTTCTATGCACCAGAATTTAAATACATTGACAAAATTCATCTAATATTAGAAAGGAATATCGATATAGACATTAAGATTATATGATTAAATATGAACACGGTAGCAATTACAATATAAAAATAATTCGTTACGTGAAATACATTGTCTTTAGAAGTTGTATTGTACTTTCACGATAATCATCGTGTACCAAAGAGTTATTGACCTATCCTTGGGTTTATTTAATGCTACTCTAGTGAGTGAAGCATATAATTGATTTAAAATGTCATGTACACAACACCGGTACGTTGCAAACATCCTATTTATGTCCGACGTTTACTTGGGCAGCGGGAGCGATACTGATCTGGAAATAAAATAACGTTAAATTTATTTGCTAGAAAGGACATAAATATTATTCGTATGCTTGGTAGAGGAAATTACAGACGAGTTCATTCTCCATATATTGTAAGCGGTGCGGACGAGATGTGCTTTAGTAGTGCGCTCTGGAAAGTCCAATAGCGGCGACGGACGTTCGTATATCACCACGTCACGGCACTGCACACGTAGTCCTGTAAAAAAATAACAAATAGTAGTTGTATTATACATATTTTCTTGATTATAATGTTAACAGATTTTGATTTTTATCAATCTCTTAATAATTAGAAGATTTCGTTTGGAATCAAATCTGTTTTGGTATTTCTTTATGACCACCATCATCAAAAAGGAACGTGATCATTGGGAAATTTGATCCAAACCCTGAAGTGTTGCCTATCGTTACATATCTCTGTCGCAAAGTAATCGCAAGTTTTCTACTTACCACTTTCCGAGTAATCGCCGTTGACGTAACGCCTCTTTGCAACTGATTTGCTCTTCTTAATGGCGGTCTGTACACAAAATTTATATTTGTCCCTTCTTTAATTTCTTACACCTATTTTTTTTCTATTTTATAGCTTAATTTTTCTTGCAGCTTATACATTCACACTTTCTGTAGGCAAACACAACATTTTAACAAAATCAATATAATTTCTGGAAACGTGACAGAGACTTATGCAATGTTCTAAGTGCCAATTCATAGTTTAATAATTAAAAACAAAAATATTGTGTTAGCCAACGAAAGCAACATAAAGTAGAAAGAGAATTATAAAATCAAATGAAATGGCCTGAGAACATTGTCTTACAATAATTTATATTGTTACCTTGGGCGGACTGGAAACTACTGATAAACGTCCGTAGACGCCATATTTCCGCTCGTCTTCTGGCCTTAGTGTTCCCATTTTTTTCATGACTAAATAAATCTGTGGGAAAAGTTTATTTAGTATTTTATCCCTTTATAATGAAATGACAGCATATTAAAAGTGTACACGCGTTTGCCTAACCTGCTCTAACATGCCGTAACTTCTTATGAGGAAATCCCTCTGCGCCAACAAATTGACTCTCTCGCGTTCCTCTTTCTCCACGATAGGATCGGGCTCGAATGAACACAGTACGTACGGAGGCTTGATCTCTTTTTCGGGAACCTAGTTTGAAAAAATATATTCTTAAATTTGTAAAAATTGGATAAATCTAAACTTTGTCATAAAATCATGATAATACTCTACTGATACCCAAATAGTATTGAAAGCAAAATTTATGCAAATATTCTAGTTGTATCTATCCAAGAACTCTAATTGAACTGTACATATGGAGGTCGATAGTTAAGCCGTCCTTATCTCTTAGTTTGGCCACCCCCGTTAATGTTGGAAAACCATTCACTTTCCTATTTTAACCAATGCAAATGAAATCATTTAGTAGTGCATTCTGTAAATTTTATAGTGTGCTAACTGTACCTGCCAGCCTTCTTGTTCGGTTTTTATTTTCAATCATATAAACAAGTTCTTCACTGCAGCACCTTATGGTAAGCAATCGTTCATGATAAGGCGCACTAGTTTATTAAGAGTCTATCAATATATGCTTAAAGGCACCTAAATCAAAACTGCACGGGAAGACCATTACCGGCAAGCTATTTCAATCCCTAGATATGCGTGGTATATATGACGAAGGGAAAGGCCGAAAGAAAGACTGGATGGTAGAGGTCTCAACGATAAAAGGAAGAATATCCGCCGTATAGTTGTCCAATGGATGGATTAGAGCTAGTGATGAGGTAATTATCTCGTGTAGTTCCCGCGCACGGTCTCCAAAATGTCCCCTAGAAAATAGAGAGGCTGGCTACCCTACTCCTGCGCTCCACTGCCTGAAGATTGGTTTCGTCGACCGGACTTGTGCTTTGTATAGTATTAGAAGCTGTTCCGGTGTGAAGTACCGCCGAACCTTTGCAAGAATGCCCAGTTTCTTAGCTGCTAGCTTTTGGCTTTGGACTCCATGAACCGCCTATAGTTTAGGTTTAAGGAGATTTCAATTCCCAAGAGCTGGAGGTAGTCAGTGTACCTATTACAAGGACACATTCTGTAAAGTAGGAACCAAGCTGAGGCTTCTTTTGGCGGTAAACAGGCAAGCTTGTGTTTGGGTGGCGTTGAATCCCACAGCTTTTCCCCACTTGGAGATTGTCTGACGTGAGACATTTGTACTGTCAACCTCTCTCTCGGACTGGATTAATTCCTTACTGGCCCGAGAACTCGGAGGGTATCTCTCTACAACTATCTGCCTATGTTGTCGTCTGCATACCCTTAGATACCGGGCATTAGCGGATCGTTGATATGCAACAGAAACAGAGTTGCTGAGACCATAGTATGTTACATGTGCCTATCCAAATGTCTTGATTTCAGTTTAGAATAACCAATCTGCAATGTTAGATTTTTTAAACGAGTACCTACTTACCTTTCTAGTCGTCGCCTTGCTTCTGACCTCGTAAACGGGAGGGACATTTGGTTTTAATAAATTGCAATAACTAACCGGTTGCTGAGACAGTGACGGTTTGTTGCTAAGCTTTTTATCTTTATCATCTTTCTCTTTACGTTTCTGTTCTTTTTCGGCGCGAACTTTTGTTTTGGTCGTCTTTTCTGTGGTTGTGGTTGTGTTTGTAGTGACTGCGGTAGCTGTTGAGTTTCCATCTTCAGTTTTCTTTTCGCCTTCCTTAGGGGCCTTTGGTTGAGATGGCTTCTTTAGCGCTTCCGCCTTAGCTTTCGTTTGCTGAATTTTATAAAGAAATATTTTTGAGTTACTTGCTGTGTATTAAACATCTACGTATTTTATTGTATTTTTATAGTACCTGAAATTCTTCCCTTTGTAAGCGTGTGCAGTCTCCTCGTGCCCGCGATGAAGCGGTACCAGTGTACAACGAGCCTGACGGCTGTTGGAAAAGAGAGGCGTACTGTTCGCCCACTGGATATACACGCCTGCAAAATTACAGGTGATCATTTGAATTCGACATTATCAATAAACTGGAAAAAACAGGTTTACAAATTATGGTTAAGTAACCAACCTAAAGTTTCCAAGATGTGTTTCCTCCCATTGTATTTGCGTCTGCCATGGACTTTTTTCGGGTTCTTTCTCTTCTGCTGGTGTATATTCTGCAAATCTGTAACAGTGTTCCCCTTTTAAGTCTGTCCCGGTTAAACTATACCCGGTTCTTAAATTCCAATAAACTTCAACTAAGTACAAACTATATTCTATATATATAAAAATCAATGTAACTTTTTGCTGTAATGTTATAACTCAACAATGCTATTACCGATTTAGCTAATTTTGGTCTTGAATTATTCGTGGAAGTCGAGAGAAGATTTGTACGTAGAGAAAATTAAAAAAATATCTTGTACAAGTGTAAAATCGACACGCGGGAGACTGCTAGTAAAGGCATAAGTATTTTTTTTTCTTACTTGTTAGTCTGCAGGAGCCGGTCTCGTATCCTCTTGCGGTCTTCCTCAAGAACTCTTCTCTTATCACATTGCCATATGTTGAGCATCGTGAACGTATCTGTGAGTAGGCCTTCTTTCACCTCGCGGTCTAGCTGCGTGTCCGTGTGAAAACTCGGCGAATGATTTACCTGGAGTAATAATATTTTTTATATAAGTGACAAACTGAGGTCCCCTAAAGCTTGTAGGGCCTACCCATTTGTTCAGCAAGACATATTTCAGCTAATGATGAAATGCCTTACCTTGTATGTATTATTGCATTAGTTATCAACGGTGAGTGTTTAAATTTTAGGGACCTTGTTTTATGATTAGGTAGGTACATAAGATTATAGAACAAAATGCAGATAGTATATTTTTAATGTATTTAGTTCTGAACTTACTTCCAGTATGTAGGGGTGTAATTTATGATCCAGAAGGATATCGAAGCCCAGTATTTCAAAGCAGGCATGCACCTGTAAAATAATATGTAGGTAGGTAATATAGTCAAAACATACCTAAGTATATTAACAAAATCAATAAGTATTTCATGATAACCACTACTACTACCAAATTTCTAACAAGATAATGTAACGTAAGTAGAAGAGTATAATATAGTTTATAATCCTTGAGAAAAAAAAACATAATTATAGGTATTTAGATATAAACAAATAGGTACTAAGTATTAGATACTGAATAAAAACCTCCTGTTCTATCAAGGGCTTGAGTAATAAGAAAGTAGGCAGCAATAATGTTAAAGTTATTAACGTCAAAGATTTGAATACTGGCAGCACATATAAAAAATGTAGATACGACAAGTAAAAAAAAGTGGTTTTAAAATTGCTTAGAAGAAATACCTACATATCTACTGGTTGGCTTGACTAATGCCAAAGCTTGAAAGGGAATACTTGAAAATTAGGACAGCCATCTATTTTAATATTTAGAGGTATTTTCGAAAGAAAATTATCATTTAAGTCGAGTTTCTAAGGATTTGCTACTTAATGATGGCATCCCTGTAATACCTACTTATACTAAAATACCTAAAAAACTTTTTTACAGGGTATCAGTAAAAGCTAAACATTACTCAAAGACTGCTTTCTAAAGCTCCAACAACAAATATAAAACTTAAAAGAACCATATCATGCGAAGGAAAGCATGCGTGGTAGCTATGCTTGAGTATCGGCCACGCAGATATTATTGTCTTCACGATAACTTGGTCTATGGCGTGCCACAGCCTGTCCAGGTCGACGCCTTGTGATAACAGGATCTTGTTCAAAGTCGATATCTTGCTGATGAATGGAAATTCATCGTGACTTTAGATTTTATTAGATAGGCACGTATCTGTGTTACTTTACTTTAGGTATCTTCTTTAAAAAAAATTTAACCTTAACTGAATTTAGTCCAGTAGTTTATGTAAACGTTTGATCAAAACAATCAGAGTCTATTTACCTATAAGTAATGCTATTTATATTGGTTGGGGTGTATGCACAAAGAGATCATCTCCTGCCTACAAGTATCCAATGCTGAGAAGTCTTTTCTCATTTGGAAACATTTTGAGCATTGACTCCACTTATAATTGGACCTTTTAAGTCCAGCCTTCATCATAATCATCAGTCCGCTCAATAATCTTAGAATGTATGTATATACAGGATGTAAAAAGACACTTAACGAAGCCGTTCACTACGCATACTGCAGTTCTAACTAAGTAGCTTTACGCTAAAATTATCACTGGAAAACGACTTTTATTTTTGGTTATAAAAAAAAAAAAAATTTTGCGCGCAATGTAAAGCAAACGGACTTCGTGTCATTGTGTGCGTAGGTGCACAGCTTAGCATTAAAACGCTGTGATAAGTACGTAGGACGACGTTTTACTTCGCAACAACAAAACAATTCTGTAAAATAAAAATCCTACTGAGACGCACCATGTTTTTTGTGCGGGTCTGCATTTATTTATTACGTACATTACTGTTCGTAACTTCAAATGCGTAATTTATTTAGAAAAATTGAAAATTCAGGTAATGTTTGTTTGGAAAAAAGTTTTGTAATAATACTCAGAATTCGATTGCGCAAAAAAAATAAAAAATAAAAATGCATCTTTGACCTTCAATATCTCGAGAACCCGTGTAGTCCCAGCTATGGTCTTAAAGAAAAAAATGAGCCAAATAATGGGTAGAATACGTGGCATTCGGCTTCGTTAAGTGTCTTTTTACACCCTTTATAATTTGGTACTAGTACAAATCATATCAGATTTGAATCCGCATTCACATGCACGAGAAGCCTTATCCTTCCTACAGTGACCAAGACAATTACAAATAAAGATAGTCAATTACATTCCAAAGTATCAATAAAATTTAGTAATTTAAGCTTCAAGCACAATAATTCTGAATAGTAATGAAGAAGATAAATCTCACCGTTTGCTTCCCGCTTCCGAATCATACACGTATGTGCGACTATGTTTATTCAACGCATAGTTAGTAAGGTGCATGAACACGTTTGTCGTGTTATTTACATTAGGGTCTGCATACCGACTCGTAGCGAACCTAGGACAGAAATAAACTCAGTTTTTTTATTCTTATTTTAAGCTTTCGGCAACCATATTATGTAAATTAAGTTATATGAATGTAAATAATAATTACAGATAAGTAGTTAAATAATGCAAGTGCGGCAAAACATGATTTATTTTAAAACAATCGAAAATTATTTTAATGTAGAGTACATTTTAACCACTTGATCATGGGCGTTCCTCAGGGTAGCATTTTTGGTCCGAGGATGATTCTACTGATCTAATTGTAATGAAGAAGATTGTTATATTTATTAAGAGAAAGTAAGTAATGAAAGCTGAAAATGATTATTGACCATTATTTTGACGGGAGCTACTAATACCTTACAAGTCCTTCATTATACACAAAAATTCGAAGAGGGTCGCACGATGTTATAAGAGTATATACTCGGATATCGAACTTGTATCCATCAACCAAGTATGGCTTGGATAAATACACCTAAAATGTAACAACTTTTCTTGAACTGAAATATTTCTTGTAAATCAACAAGAGGGAAATTTATTAGAAATTCTTCAATTGAATATGTATTGAATATTTGATTTGATTTACCTGACAGATAAGTTTATCTGTAGGTTTAATATCTCTTAGCGACTTCGTTAAATAGATGCCGCGGCCTTGGCTTCCACATTCTGGTTTTATAATAAATGTCTTATTTTTACGTGACTTACTATAATTTAATGCTTCACCAAAACTGCAAAATAATTTGAACGTTGATCATTCATGAACTTTGCTAAGATTAAAAATTATTGCCACCTAAAAATACTCACTCTGCAGGCAAGCACCAAGTTTTTGGAAAAAAATTGTACTCCTTAGGATAAATTTTCTGCATTCTGTTCAAATTCCGTGCTAGTAAGTCTTTTCTGAAAATAGAGTTCATAAGTTAAGATGAGAAATTAATAGAAAAAGGCATAAAGAATATAATTCACAAAATAGGTTTACCTGCATATTTCTAACATTCCAGGAAAATGATTGATGCGTTGAAACCTCTTCATTTCTTTTGCTCTCTCCACAGAGACACTCATGTCTGTCCAGTAAAAATTCCAAGCATCTTCTTCGGATACTTCTCGCATCCCAAAAGCACTAGCAACTTTCCGTATTGATTCATATCGGCAATTTGTCAGGCATATTGATATTTGAGATCTGGCAAGTGCAAATAAGAAAAAATACAGACGGACTCATACTGGGCCACTTATTTGAGTAGTTTGGATGTAAGTGATCCCACAGGTTCAAAGTTACCAAAACTTACCTAGTATTTTGAAACTTATATAGGATTGGAAAGTACAAAGTATTCAAAAATGACAACAAGTATTATATATACTCTATACCTCTTTCTCTTCTTTTTCTTGCGAGTAGCTTCTATAGGTATTATGGGCGCAGTTCGTGACGTTGGTTGAGACGTGTCATCTTCACCATACAACTTATTGTCATAGTTGCATATTAACATTGAAGATATATTTTCAGCTTGTTCCTTTTTATCCTTAGCTTGCTGCTCTGTGACCACTTTCTCTTCTATAACAATTAAATAATTTACAGTTTATTAATAACACAAATATGTAACAAAAAATAAATAACATTCATTTTCTTACCCTGTACTTTATCATTTTTCCGTTTGTTTGGCACTGAATATGTTTGTTTCGAGCTGTTTTGCGATTGCTGATCCTCGTCACGCAAGAAAGTGTCATGTGTGGCAACTAGCTATAAATTTAATACATAGGTATACATATTGACCATAACAAGCATAGTAAAAAATTATGAGTTTTCTTATGTTTGCATTATAGTTACCTCCATTTGCTGCAGTTAATGAATATAAGCGATAAATGACCTAAAAGCTCGTGTTAGGCATTCTACGGCGTGCAATAATAACGCTCAATGCTTATGGAATAAGACACCTAACAACGAAGACCTAAAAGAAAATTATAAATCGCTGAAACAGGAATTTATCTCAGAGTATTATAAAATTACAAACTTTTAAAACACAGTAATATTATTATTCTTCTTACCAAACTTTGTTATGTAGTAATTTCATTAAAATTTTGCGAGAGACATTATTGGAAACTGTTTTTTGTTTTTGTTTCATGTCAGCTGTCAAGTCAAAATAAACGTATACGCTGCTTCCGTTTCAGCTCATTTCAGTACAAACTTTTCCAAATTTTCCGGAAATGACATATGTGGTCAAATCAAAACAAAGGGTCAAAAACGTTTTGTACCCACCACCATGATGAACAAAAAGAATAAAATTATAATAAAACTACAGGCACTTCGTGTGCAATTTTTTACAGTTTACATTGATGTGAATTTTTATTAATATATTTATTTCTTATATATTACTTTACTTTTAATTTACTTTTATTTGAAGAAATAACAATAAAAAAATCTTTAATTTTAAAAAAGACCTCATAAAAACCTGGGCTAATGTAGTATCTATTTTCATTTTAGGCCGTTGTGTCTTATAATTTATGAAAATAGTCACTAAACTCATCAATAACAAGTTTTAGTAGTTCAGATCTCTGTCTGAAATTAGTTTTTAATGAAATTTTGATATGAGAAGGAAATGAACTGCTTATATTAATGTTTGTTTAAAATAATATAGAAGCTAATTTTATTTATGTAACCAATTTAATATAAAAACTTGAATCTAATGTAAACTGTCCTTAAATGCCTGAATTTACCATAGATTTTTAATTGACTGGCAACTTTGTCGTTGATTTGAGCTTGTTTTTGAGTCCGGTCCAGTCACAAAAATTAATGATTCCATAGACAATTTGATTATTTGCTATCTTCGGAGTATTACGTGGGATTCAATCAAATTAAACCCTATTTTTTACGCGATAAAATTGAAATCAGTATTTTGATTTTGGTTTTGGAAGTTCAGTCATTTACCGAAGTGGGCCGTACCCTGGGCCGTCAAGTTAACACAAATCGTCAAATTCTACATTCTTGTACATATTTCTGCTTTTCCGCCAAAGTACAGAGTCATTCTAGATTTGCCAAAATGGCAGAGGGACAGGACGAACCCAAAAAAATTACTATTACAGTGAAAACACCGAAAGAAAAACAGCAAGTTGAGATTGATGAGGATGCTGACGTTAAAAAAGTGAGTACGGCGCCGCCAGAAACTTTGCTCATGGCGTAATAACATAGATATTGCACACGCAATCACTGACGACATTTATTTAGATATTCGGTAAAGTAAATATGACTTCGTTATTTGATTTTAGCTCAAGGAAGTGTTGTCCCCTAAATTCAGTGCAGAACCGGAGCAGCTATGTCTCATTTTTGCCGGAAAGATCTTGAATGATGCCGACACCCTGAAACAGCACAACATCAAGGATGGGCTGACAGTCCATCTCGTGATAAAGACTCCGCCAAGGCCCGAGCCTGAGGGCGCTACGCGACGTCCTCCAGGTACTCAATTACTTACATCCTGTCATAATTGTGAAACATGAGTTTGGATTTCACTCAGTGAACAGAGCTAGTGAACCTTGTATATACTTGGCCAGTGACATTCTTGTTCAAAATGAGACAATTTTGCCCAATGCTGTGAGTCCAAGGTACTATGAAGAAATAAAAGTGACTGTAATAGTTGCACTGCTATGTTGGAATTTGTTAAAGTAATATTTTAATTAGGTCATTGACTAATTAATGTATTCAAGTAACATTGAGTTTTGCTAAGTAAGAACAATAGCGAAACAAAGTATTTTATCAAAGGTGTGGTAATAATTTAATGTAAAATTATTTATGAAAGACATAGTTGAATGATAGACATCATGATGTATATTTAAGACACTTGTAACTTTTTGATTTTAGATACCTAATACTAAAAAATGTTTTATGTTGCAAGAAAATAATTGTTGACATTGTAAAATGTAAAAATGCTTGATTGTCTCCCTTTTAGCAAAACCTTTTCATTGTTTTATCTGCCTTATTTGATAAAAAAAAATAAGAAGTTAATGTTATCAACATTTTCTTAATTGAGGTCAAATTTACTGCAAAATTCATTACTAAGTACCCATATGTTTATTATATTTCCTCAACTTATGTTTGAGACTATGTTATATGTAGTATGAACCTTAAATTGACAATAGAATACAGATTTTCAACAAAATTACATTTACGAGAACCATGTAGTTTACATATCAAACAACATCCAATTTTTTTTTTATTTTAATGATTTTTTAGTGGGATCTATTTGCTATTCTCAAATTGATTGGCTTTCTGTTTAGGACACATTATTATATTTCTTTTGATGACTACAAAATGGTTGAAGAAATGATATGATTCATGTTGGTACTTGTAGCTCTCCTATTTTTAGGTATATAAGTTTCTTTGCAAGTCAAAGAGATATGATGCAACATTGTGTAAAAAATCTAATAAGAAAATTTTCTCATAAGGTCTTTCTACAACAACAACAACAAATATTAAAAGAATCCAGTAAATTTCAGTGAATTAGGCGACATCATGGTCTTTTACCATGACGGGATAGCCCCCTATGTACCAGAATTTTGTTATCAAGTGTCACTTATACTACTTATTTAGTATAAAACAAGATTATTTCCTCTGTCCCTATACATGCTTAAATCTTTAGGTTTTTAATAGTTAGAGTGATAGAAGAGGAAGGTTAATGTATATACTAACATTCATTAAATAGTGGAGAAATTAATTGTCAGCACTACACCCATACCCATACAAAGCCGCCCGGTCAATCGTAAAATATATTTCATGAAGTACCAGACATATAATTATAAATTAGTTACATAAATGTAGAGCTGAGATTCTGTGTGTATATTATATATTTATAACATAAAAGTACAGTAATTTGATGTTTGCAATTATTATTGTTTCAGCTGATGTTGGTGCTACTCCATTTGGTTTAAATTCATTGGGTGGATTAGCGGGCCTTGAGAGTTTGGGTCTTGGCCAGAGCACTTTTATGGATTTACAGGTATGGAATTAACTATAAAAAGCAACTTTAATTAATTTAGAATCTGTGTAGTATGCTTAAGAGCCTTAAAATGAGACTGCTGTTAATTTTGTAACTTCTTGATTCAACATCAATGTACACAGCATAGCTCAAATTGATAAAAATTTTAGGATTTAGTAACAGTATAGTTATTATTGCTAATAATAAATGGTATGTGGTTATGAGGCAAGGCCCTGTCTTGCACACAATGAATTGGTGCCCATTTTTGATACAAACATCAATCATATCTATGTAGTAGCTTCCACCGGCCACTTTGCACACATATAACAGTAATGTATCCCAGGATTTTAAAAACAGCAGTGTTTGAAGCGATAGCTCGATTAAAATTCCCAAATCAAGTATAATTTTTAGCCTATAGCACTGTGGTTTCAAACATTACCCCCTTTATACAAACGGACGCATTTTACCGCTATATAATATTGGCATAGACTAAAACAGCTTATTTTTTAGTTTGTGAAATTAATGTTTTTTTCTCTTTCTTTCATGTGGCATAGGCTCGAATGCAACAAGAGCTCCTGTCAAATCCAGACATGCTGCGACAAGTTCTTGACAACCCACTGGTGCAACAAATGATGAATGACCCAGAGAACATGCGTACTCTCATCACATCCAACCCACAAATGCAGGATCTTATGGCAGTGAGTAATTTTTACGAAAAATTGCTTATCAAATATATATTTTTTATAAAAAAAATCTTTTCCTGGTGTCTTATTGGAGTAGTAGATTTAAGTGTGCTCTAAGCGTAGTTTTAGTAACACTATTCTTGGAATGATATAGTAGTAATTAAGCATTTTATAATTACAGAGGAATCCAGAGATAAGTCACATGCTGAATAATCCTGAGCTTTTGCGGCAAACTATGGAGTTAGCTCGCAATCCCGCGATGTTGCAAGAGCTCATGCGTTCTCATGATCGCGCCCTCTCAAACCTGGAGAGCATACCTGGTTAGTATTAGTTATCCAAATCTATACTATATTAAAATAAAAAAAGTTATAGTTTGTTCATTGGTTTTAATATTTGTTTCATGTTGGGTAGTTATTTATCGAGATCGGCTAAAGACTAAACATCAGTCATCACACTTGCACCAATTTTTTTTTTCTTTTTCTTGGGGACCTATCAAAACTGTGTTGTGGGGGAGTAAAAGTTCAGTTTAGGTAATTAACGAAATGTAAACAATCATGGCATGTCGTTTTATTTCAAAGTTGTCTAAAAATTGTATGTAAACTCTTTTAGAGTTTACAATCAGGTATTATATCACTTGTAGCTAATTAACTCAATTTAAATAATCTTTGTATGCATTCTATAAGACCTCTCATATAAAAAGACAAGATTGTTTTCATTAACCAAAAGACTATAGCAACTTTCAAAGTCGTTGATGATGAAGATGTTCTTACATCTTTAAGTGAGCAGATGATTAATGATGATGAGCACAGAACACAAGAGCGCAAATCTAGATTAAATTTGAGTCTTCTAATTTTTATCATAATTCTATTTCAGGTGGCTATAACGCTTTACAGCGCATGTACAGAGACATCCAAGAACCAATGTTGAATGTAGCGAGCAGTATGGCAGGCAATCCATTCTCTGGACTGGTGGACAACTCTGGTAAGTCATTTGGATGAAAGTTAATGTAAAAAACCTGTTATGTATATTATTAGTAATCAGTGAAATTAAGAATCGAATTTTAAGCTGTCATGAGGATAAATTTCGCTATAACACAATTCTATGATATATTTATTTTTCACTTGGGGAATTTACCAAAGCTGTTCATTTATTATTTTGTTTCCATCAGACGGTACAAACCCGCAACAAGGAGCTGAGAACAGGCAACCCTTGCCAAACCCTTGGCAGCGCGGTGGAGGAGGCGGCGGTGGGGCCGCGGGTACCGGCGGCACGGGCCCGGCGAGCGCTGGCCCCGGCCTCATCAACACGCCGGGCATGCAGTCACTGCTGCAGCAGATGTCTGAGAACCCTCGCCTCGTGCAGTCCATGCTCTCCGCGCCTTACACCAATAGTATGCTCCAGGCCCTTGCCGCTGACCCCGACATGGCATCCCAGCTTATCAACCAGGTGTGGGATGAAAGCAGTTTTTTTACCTTATGTAAATCGATGTGTTTGATGTGGATGATAAAAAAAGGATGATTAATTGTAAATATTAATCTTCAAATTTTTACTAGCTGCCGCCCGCGGCTTCGCCCGAGTGGTATTATGATAAAAAGTAGCCATGTCCTATTCCGGAGTGTATCTTATGCCTATACATCCAAATTTCATCCAGATCCCTCCAGCCCTTTTGGCGTGATTGTGTAACAAACATCCAAATATCGTAACTTTCGAATTTGTAATATTAGTACAGTACGGCAGACGTATCTTGGCGAGTCTGAAGTTAGCCGTTTGTATGCGCAATGGGTCTTTCAGGAACAAAATTGTGTACTGCGCAGCTACTCTTATAAGATTCGGCTACAACAGACGACAGTCTTTGCTATGTTCTAACTAAAGTATTAATTACATTCACACAGAACCCGATGTTTGCAAACAACCCCCAGCTACAGGAACAGATCCGCACAATGATGCCGCAAATGTTAGCACAGTTACAGAACCCAGAGATGCAGCAAATGATGTCCAACCCACAGGTCAGTTTTACTACAAAATCAAATTTTTGTACTGGTGCTTCACTATACGAAAATAAGCAATAACAAAGATGTTGAACTATTTTTGTGTTAACATAAGTCAGGGTTTAATATTCATGCAACTCACTCAACTCAATTTATTATTCTAGAATGACGACAGAGATACAGTGACCCCTAATACAATAAAATAAGTAAACAACATGAACATTATCATAGTTTGTAATGATCACCGTTAAATTTGTCTGAATAAGAAACTTAGTAGTGAATATATTAACATCAATTATATTGCTAGTGTATGTATGGATTATGTTACAGGCCCTGAACGCGCTACTTCAGATCCAGCAAGGATTGGAACAGCTCCGCACTGCGGCGCCCTCGCTGGTGGGCAACCTGGGGCTGGGGGTGGGAAATGCCACCGCCACTCCCACCACAACGCCACCAGCGCCTGCCGCGCCGCCCAACGCACCCCCGCGCCAACAACAGAACTCTGAACTCTTCACGCAGGTTTGTTCTCCATGACTGTATTATGTTTTGTCAAACTAATTATTTTGATTAATAATTTATTAACGTACATTAACAATTACTTGCTACAATATGGAACCACCTAACTAATTTATCTAATAAACATATAAAATTAGCACAGTTTAAGAAAATTACAAAATATTTTAAATTATTATAATTATATGTGATATTGCCATTTTTCTGAATATTTTACTTATAATCTTAATCTGGTGACTAAATTTACCATACTTATATTCGTCTTAAAACATTAACAAGACAATTTAAATAGGCTCTATATTAAGCTTATTATGGTTACAGTATTATCTTATTAAGCAGTGGTTTCACAACAAGTTTCGAGTATTTTACTCTAAACTGCAGTGAAACCACTAACAAGGCAGACATAAAATACTTTGTCTCTATGTGCCCGCTACGTCGCAGTCGTATGCACAGCGCCCGCACCTCGATGTGGTACTTTATTACTTGCATTTATAAATTAATCCCTAGAATAGTTGTGATAAGTAGCTATAAAGAAATATGTATTGTGTTATACTCGGAATTTAAATTAGATTCCTGCTTTGACAATTTCAGTGTTGCAACGTTATGACAAGTACTAAATAAATAATGATGTTGCAAAATTATTCGATATGGAAATCTAATATTTCCGAATTGATTACTCTCGTTTATAAATTTACTCTCGTAAACTAAGTTTATCAGGAAATTAAATATTTCTGAACCGATAATTTAGTTTTGACAATTAATTAACGATTTTCTTTTATAAATTGTGGGTGAAATTCCTAAAAAATATGATCTATTACGGTAATAATTTATTTTATATATTGTCGACTTCATCGCTATCGCTGTTACTTTCTGTAACATTTATTATGAATTGTGTCTGTGATATTTATTGTCAATTAACATATCTAGCTTACTAATTTTTTCCTTTTCTTTGACAACATGGGATACGCATTTAGACCATTCGGTAGCCGTAATTTTTTAATGCTTTCCTGTAACTGATTTACGAATAGATTATCGATTTTTGTGTTCATCACTACACTGTTTTAAGTGATATCATTATTCCACAAAATGACAGTGGTTAATGTCAAATCTGGAATCGAATTAAAATTCTGACTATAATCGTTTATTAAATCTAATTCTATTTTATTAAATGGTTTAGAGTTGCAGTTGTATATCAGTCTGTACAGGTTTTGGTTCTGCCAATACATAAGGACATATAAGTAAATAATAGAATTTAGCAAGTTAATGTATTTATTGATGTAAATTGTTTTCAGATCATGCTTAGTTTTTAATATATGTGTATATCAATTTTAACAATTAGTTTTTCGTACACAGTTCATGCAGCGAATGATGTCGGCCATGGCGAATAATCAAACGAATTCATCACAGCCACCTGAACAGCGCTACTCGCAACAACTCGAACAACTCACGGCTATGGGCTTCCTTAACCGGGAAGCGAATCTGCAAGGTAAACATTTATCTAAGTACTTTTAAACTGACAGTTTAACCAACCCTACCACAAGATTAATTAAATATTTGTCAAGTACTACTTGCTACAAAAAATTAATACTTCAGTTGTTGTTTTGTTCTATAGGTATAATAAATCTGTATATATAAAGAGCAAAATGTGTTGGTAAGCACATAAGTGAACTATGTCTGGACCAATTTTACCTTTTTTTAGTATGTTTGTTATTGTGAGGAGAAGGTTCATATGCAAGAAAATTTTAAGTGAGGGGAGAGTTGGGAAATAGGATCCCTTTTATGGTGTGGGTAACACAACATTTGTATATAAAATAAAACTATGATGTTTTTTCAGCACTGATTGCGACATTTGGCGATGTAAACGCGGCGGTGGAGAGGTTACTAGCTCTCGGCCAGTTGTCCATGAGCTAACACTCGAGCGCTTAGCAACTTAGACGTCCACTACTGCGGCTACGATTTGCTTACACCATCCTAAAACTATAATTTAGTTACATCCTCACTTCCATTTCGGTTGAAATCAAGTTAATTTAGTTTTGTCTCACAGTTATTTATTGTTTGAAGCTTAGTTACTCGTGATCACGTGTGGTGTGTAAGGTGTCGTGATATTATATTTAGGGTATGGGTGTGGCTTTAAGGCCTTTTATATTTATGGTCGCCATGCAAAAGAAACAAGCTACAGTTTATAATGAAGTCTGCTACTTTATCCTTTTGACCACCATATTCAGCTATCGACGACAAAAAAAGTGCTTTAAAAGATACGTTTTCTTGTCGGATATGGCCAACAGTGACGATTACATTATACCCTTCAATAAATAGGCTATTACATCTGCTTGTTGATGGTGTCAAGTGAGTTTGTAACAATATTATAGTTACATATTTAGATTGTTTATGGTTTCGGTAAAAAATGTGTGAGTGATGTACTTGAGTTACTCTTTTAAAATGGCAGGATTCGAAATAAACGTGTTTTAGAACAAGTAATAAGTATTGAAAATACATTTAGACTTCACCTTCATATTTATTAAAGGGTAATTTCAATAGTTATTAATATGTATGCTCTTAGTGGTAACATTAAAACGTGCTTAGTTTTTGAATAACGTCATTTTATGAGAACACTATCACTTGATTTTGTTTCAAATGTAATGGTGTAAGTAAGGATGGGCTAGCGACAATTCAACATTTAACTAACACTCTTCAAATTTTATTACCGTGTTTGTCGTTACGCACGTCTCAGTTTCCTTTAATTAATATTTTAATGATAAAAATTCATTCCTTCTTGTTTTAGGCAATACGCAAAATTGTTGTTTATACATTAAGTAATAAAAACACTACAATTCCTGATAAAATCGTCATAAAATACTACTGTAAAGGAATATAAAATATATTTCTATATAATTTAATTTAATGTATTCTTGTTATACTCTATGTTATCGATGTGAACTCACTGGCGTAGAATTACGTAAATAATAGGTTTATGTAAATAGATTTGCTTCAAAAAATATGTGGAAGAAACACAAAACTTGCAATAAAAAAATATCATTTTGTCTAAAGTTATTGATTTTTTTATAATTTCAGTTTCTTCGTGTCTTTTTTCTTTAGTCACAATTTAATGGGGTGTATAAGGTTGACTGATTATTTTGCATTGTGTCAGGTTAAACTGAATATTGGTTGATTATGGACAAAAATATATCAATATAACAAAAGACAAAAATACAATTGTTTTCTTTTACTTCATATGTATTTATTTTACAGGCAGCTTTTTAAGTAGAAGTCTCAGAATATTATCAGATACAGATATTGTACCAGATGTTGCCTTGCTGAATATGATGCTTGATGAAACCTTGCTTTGAAATACTTAAAAACTTGCCTGTAAAACACTACCAACCATGCTTGTCCTACCATATGTGTATGTAGCCATGTAAAATATATTTATCTTTTTTGTGGTGGTTAAGTACTTTTATATTTCACTTTTCTTTTGTAGCCTATTGTAGTGGTTTTATAGGTAATTAAATTTAAGTTGTAAAAAGTATGAAAGAGTACTAATGTTGCTCATTTTTGTAGGGGAATGTGTTAAAATTACCCAGAAGTGATGAATCACTTTGTGTGTTAAATATTTCTTGTATAGAGAGGCATTGATCATAGGCGCACCTTTATTTATATAAAAAATCTTCTGGATAATAACGTAAGTTTACTGGCTTAAATTGTTTATTAAAACAAATTTACGCATTAATGTTCCTTTCTTAGCTAGCTTCCGTGCTTATGACACCATTTTTCTTTTAGAAATAGTAGTAATTGATTTGGCTTGCGAAATTCATGTTTTAATCGAAAAGCGTGTGCTCTGTGATGTGTTCTAGACTGCTAGAATTGTTTAAAATCGTATGAATCTGGGTGTAACAATATTATTACGTGACAGAATGCAATTATTATAAATAAATTTAAATACTGTTGTTTTATTTGTATGTACCTATATGAAAGGCAACAAAATTGGTATTTTGCGACTCTGATTTTATTTCAAGTTGAAGTCGATAACAGACGCCATGCTGTCAGTCAAGTCCTTGCTCACTTCCAGAAATAAATAAAGGGTTAAATACGGCAGTGAACTTGATCGGAGCGCCACAATAACAATAATTTGTTTATGCGACCGCATACTCCGTAACGCATTGTACGACAACCGATTACCGAATGAAGGCTTGTCCGTATTAAAATAAACGTACCTACTTCTAATTTTACAGCTGTGACGCTCTGTGGGCAGATCAAAGGACCGCGCTTCCAAAAGCCTGTGTGCTATCATTGTCAAGTCAATTAAGTTTTGTTTTATCTGTACTCTTCTGTCAAAGCCAAAGTCATACAATCTCACCGTCACTGTCACAAGACTTACAGTCACTTAAAGCGGAACTTGAGTCGGAATTTGTAATGAATTTCAATTTATTGACAATAATAATATTGATTAAGTTATGATATGAGTAATTTTAAATGAAAAAAGTGAACTGATAAGGTATTTATTATATATATGGCATTAAATATTTTTGAAGTGGTGCAACTACAAAAATAGTTAATATTAAAATAATGTTGCGTTTCAGATGTATTCCCCACGACAGAAGATTCTATGGTTTGCATTTAGTACTCGCATTCTACTGATTATCTTACAAGCATTATCAAATCTTATTGTGCCAGACCATAACGCTAATGTATTTATTAGCCCAGAAGACCCAAACTTGCGCAAATCGACTGCAGATGTTATCGTCGATAAATTATTAGGCGGCATGAAAAGATGGGATGCCCAATACTTTATACATATTGCCCAATTCGGCTACACTTATGAAAATTGTCTAGCGTTTTTTCCATTATTTCCATTACTTGTAAGATATTTTGCATATGGACTGAATAGTGTATTTGGCACAGTCCTAAATTTTCATAGCAATTTGTTAATTTCTGCAACAATTTTAAATATTATATTTTTTATCAAATCAGCAGATGTGTTACACAGACTTAGTTTAAGAATTTTACGCAGTGAGTGTAGAGCATATAAATCTGTTATATTGTATTGCATTAACCCTGCTAGTATTTTTTTCTCTGCACCATACTCAGAATCACTGTTTGCATGGATGTCGTTTTATACAATGTTTAAGTGTACAGAAAGTGAATCTCTGAGATTTGCTAACATTGACATAATGAGTGGTTTACCAGCTGGATTTTCCATGATCACTCGGTCAAATGGTTCTGTAAATTTGGGATTTATATTATATGCAACTTTTAAAAATGTTATAGAGAGAACTATACCTGAAATTATTTACAAATACAGGACATTAAAACATAAGATAATCTTGCCATTCTTATTGTTGCCACTGTTCACCACACTTGTCTCAGTTTTTTTGACTGTAACTATAGCACTGTTGCCATTTCTTTTAGTACAAACATACAATTACTTAAAGTATTGTGTACACAATGATCATAATTTACCAGATTTTTTGTCCAACACTGAGTATGTGTTGCCTGGTAGTGCAGAGAGTCCATGGTGTAACAGTAGTTTACCATTATCATACTCCTATATACAAAGTCACTATTGGGATGTGGGTTTGTTCAAATATTATAAATTGAAACAGATTCCCAACTTCATACTTGCTGCCCCTATCATAGTGACAGTAATGTACCATTGCTTGTCTTATGTGATATGTAACATAAGACTGTGTTTTAGACTTGGATTGAAAGCTAATATTATTGGGTATTCAAATAAGATGCCTTACAGGCCAAAGCAATATTCTAAGTGTTTTGGGGCCAATGATCCTATTGTATTTGTGTATATAGTGCATATGTTATTTCTGTGTGTATTTTGCATAATGTTTGTGCATATACAAGTGGCCACTAGACTTTTGGCATCAGCTAGTCCCATATTGTACTGGATATGTTCCACTAAAATGAATGTGGGACCCACACCAACATCAGATCAGAACACAATAAATGAGCATTTTAGGCGTATTGGAATAGGAAAGAGAATACCTTCTCATCATTTATCTATAGCCAATTTAGAAGGTGTTGATAATATGTACAGCAAATGGAAAACATTTATAATATCCAGGAAGATGCCAGATTTACAATCACGGATGATACAGTATTATTTTATTGGTTATTATTTTGTAGGGACAGTATTGTTTTCAAATTTTTATCCTTGGACTTGAATGTTTTTCACTGACTAACTGGACATATCATTTACGTATCAGCTGCAGAATAGAGGTTTACAATATTTCTAATTTATTTATCTACATATCATTTGTGATATTCTATTTATCTGCATTCCAATGTTAATGTTACTCTTACATAGTTCAAAGTAATGTTATACATATTAATTATTCTCGCTGCCTTATCAATAAAAGTTATAACTATATGAGAACTTTAATCAAATTAATATTTATTAAAACTAGTCAAAATAGAAGTTATATGAACATTACAACTTGTTAGAGCCCTTAGTATTAAAATGATCATGTTAAGATTTCTATGCTTAAAATGGGGCCTTTCAATATTAACAATATTCAAATACTTAATAAATGCTACAGTCATTTAATAAAAATCGCTTTTAAAAATAGTTTTAAGAAAAAGATTGCGTACAAATTGACTGTTATTAGTCTAGTCATTAATTTTATATACCTAGTTAGGGAAAATGAGCACAATGAGCAATATTAGAACGAAATTAAAATCCTTAATTAGATGTATAAGGATTGGAATTACTTTGCAAATCAATAAAGTGTATACATGTCATCAGTTATATGAGTACCTGACAGTACGCATCATGTTAGGTATTAATGTTGCGAGTTCTATTTAGATGAAAAAATCTTAATTCTTATGAATATTTCTGGTTATATAAGTAGTTTCAACAGTTAGGTAGATATAGAATAAGATGATTCTGATCAAACTTTTGATCTTCAAATGGAATTGACTTTTAACACGACTTAGTTTAGTAAGATTAAATTATTAGCTTTGGCAAGATATAGCTAGGGACCACCGAATGAGCATTTAATAAAACCTCCGGTGACCCAATAAGATTTTTATATGACAAGTCCTATTAGAGTATATGAATTTCGAAGATATTTCTATTAGATACCTACTTTTATAGCACGCCGGCTTCTCAAATTCATATTACACATAGCAACCGTCCATTTTGTAAAAGCCTCCACGGCGATTTTAGAGCCTTACGATGTTCATCAGTCCCATTTACTATAAAAGAATTACATACTAAACTACAGTTTTTAATTACAAATTTGCTAGATTTCTAATAATGGCTTTTGCTAAAGCTCGGACTTGTTATTGCTTCAAGCTCAAAAATTAATTAGATTTTAACTATTATTAATTTTAACTGCACAATTCCTATAATATTATTATTACTTATTATGGATTTTTAATATATCTACCATATTCTAATAATTACGACGACTTAATATTTTTTTATGGTTGTGAACATTTTTCAATTGAATTTAATTAGTATCATTTTTCTTCAAATTTTGTTACCTAAATATTTATGAAATTAAACACAATATAAAATTTAAAATAGTTTTATTGTTAAAATACAAAATTATTTTTACTTAATTTTATTTTAGCCATCATTGCCCTCAATTATTGATTAAATTCAGAAGATTTAAAAGGAAATTATGTAAATGCACGTATACAATCATAAATTTGAAAATCGGTACCATTCATTTCTATTAGTTTGCGGGCAGCAGCAACTTGATTATAAACATACTTTGATTATGAAAGAAAATAATCGAAATTTAAAAAACACAAAATTATTTAGAATATGGATTATTGAAAATAATTTTGGGTTACCAGAAAAGAAAAGAAATTAAAGTTGCTAGTAACATACTGTTAACTCTACAGTCTACACTTATAATTTTATTTAGCATCTTATGAACACGCAAACACATCACACCGTTTTTACAACATTCGATTTCCACTAAAACTATGCATATTACTATTATTTTACAATTCTCTTCGACATTTCAATCAATCCATTCAATTTTTACACCTAACATGGAAAATCCTTAAGTGCCTAACAGAGAAACTAGCGAGATTCTCATGGCAGGCTCCAATAATATATAATACTTAATCATCAACATTCATTTCCATAGACGAGGGTTTGGGAGAAGCTTCAGCGGAGTCCGACAGTCGGGACGAGACTGACAGGTCGGCGACGGAGTCGGCGCTGGGCTCTCCGTCGCCGGCGTAACCCTATACGGCCGCAAGCGCCTCCCGCAACCTCTGGCGGGCGCGGCGCACGCGCTCCTCCTGCCGTCTCACGTCATCCTTTGTGATTGTCACAGACGCTATCAGGGGCTGCTCAGGGTTTAAAAAAACACCAGGGTTCTCTAATATGGACTGTTTGGATCCCGTTTGACCTGGAAATAATAATTTCAACATTGTGTCATTTTGTGTCTGAACAGGAAAGCAAAGGCAACATACAGGTTGGTTAAATTTAGCTGATTTTGATGCTGAGCTTTAATCTCTTTTTATTTGTTAACTATAATATTGTCTTCTTATTCTAGGCCAGCCAAATTAAATAGTTTTATATGTTTAATTGTAACATTAAGTAGCTACCTGTTATAGGTTGAGATGAAACATGGAGAGCTGTTGCTAGAGACTGAATGATAGTCGCATCCGAGTTGTAAGGTCCCAAAGGCTTGATATATTTTGGCAGCGATGTTGTGCCTTTCACTCCATCCGCATCACACGCTGTCAATCCCTGGAAACATAAATACACTATAAATATGTATAGTGTGCGTAAAATAAGTATAGAAAGTGGTAACAGAAAGTATTGCTAGTTTTTTTTTTAATTATTTATCATTTTTAGAAATATTACATGATTAAAATTAAATAGCAACCAAAAAACCACTAAGGTTTAAACTTGTGCTGCTTTAATTATTACTGATTGATTGGATATATATTCATGTCATGTCATGAGTCATGCTACACACCATCATCCTTAATCTAACTTAGTATATCTAACATAAAAAATTTAAGTCACTCACTTCTAGCCTTTTTTCCCAGAACAACTGTTTTGGTTTCTCCTGTGTGCCATGTTTCAAGTCTGTTTTGACTTTGCTTTCCTGTGTCTTATAGACAGTGACTGGCTGCTTGAAAATTGATGCAGTTTGTCGAATGGGTGGTACCAATGACGCGTCAGAACGAACACCCCTGTTTTATAAAAAGATGGATTAATAGATGTGTTTGAAGAGATGTCACAAAGTTTACTAATATATAATATTTTGGATACATAAGATCTAAGTAAAAACTATTTTCTACAAGTTTTTTTTTAATTTAAGGGAAAGTCTATTTCGGATTTGGACTGCACAGTCATGCCACATGGAACACAAAACATGCTTAAAATAATTATTTTATTGTTTAACACAGCCTACCACCACCATTAAAGTGTTGGTTGATAGGTGATCTTCTTTCCTGATCTTTTTGGAAATAAATAAAAAAAATGAATATGAGTTAAATGTTAGCTGGTTAAAACAGAAAACATGAAATGGACAAGTGGTGATTTATGGTTTATTATGTAACTTTGCTTTTAAAATTGAATCAATAGTGAAAAAGTCTGTAATTTTAATTTTTGTACATATTTATCAGTGTAAACTTGTGTGAAATGTTTCGGAGACTGGTAAAATGAGAACAGTTGCATATAATTTTTCAATTTATTAAAAGAAATTATAATAGAACAAAGAAATTGATTCAATTCAGTTCCATAGATGATAAAAAGTTTCATTGTTATTTTTGTTTCTTTGAATTTATGAATGAAATTTTCGTACAGAATTTATAATTAATTTGTATTTTCATAATTAATACAACAATACTCATTTTTATAATGTATCTGACTTATTCTAAGACTAATAGCAAGCCCTATTCTAACTATGAATTGGTTAATTAAACTCCACCTTGAATACCAGTTATCCAACATAATCATACATTTAGATGCCAATAAAATATGATTAATTCACAGTAAAAAACAACACAAACTTATAACTATGGTTATTTTACTTACCATCACTTACTATTACAAAATACATACTGCTTTGTGCATGGTGTAGTAGCTAGCAAGGCAGTCTAATGTAAGGGAATAGTGTAAACTAATGAATTTAACATTATGAATATGTTTTGATACCTGTATTATGTCTATGCAGTCTAGTCTATGAAGGCACTACATAAAATGATTGATGTGGCTAGGGCATAGACAAATACACAAATATTTTATAAACACACATACCACAGATACATAATATTCTTACAATATTATGTATTTGCAGCCAATGGTTTATATGTTTTATAATAAAATAACTTTAGCCAAGCTGCCAATGGATGAAATATGGCAATGATCAATGATATGATGAAGCACTAAAAGCCTAAGCTCTAACAAGGAGTTTGGTTAACATATACAGGTACTAGAACTGGTTTGTGTCAAGCGGTGCATCTGGTGTGATGTCTAAACAACTACAAACACAATCAACACTGATTATGTTTCAAATACAAAACATAATCACTGTTCACACACAAAGAGCAAATCTATACCTAGGCACACTTATTACAAGCTTCTATTGGATAGCATTATAAATACAGATGGAACATAAGCAGGACTGCACTAATGATCACAACACAAGTGGAAGAAGTTATGACACTAAGGGGAACCTGTAGTCAAACTGCGCTCGTGCTTTCTTGGCCTTGCACAGCAGCATAGTGTTTATCTGACCCTGCTGAAAGTCGAAACACGACAGGTCCATACTATCACCCAGATAACGAACTAGTTCAGCCTTACTGCGAAACTTTTTACCTGTTGGGCTATAGAAAAGTTTACTGTCACTGTGAAACAACTTGCCAGGAGCTGTAGTGCATTAGCATCGGTTAATCCCTGATTTAGTGATGGGTATGTAAATGTTAAGTTAGACAATTTATTAGCCATGTTAACTGACCATTCATTTCCACATTCTAGCTTTATCTAATTTATGTCATGTCACAACTATGAACTTGAATGTTTTATTCCTATATGGCATAGTACCTGTAAATTCTGACAGTGAACATGCTAATTTGATTTACTTTCTAATTAATAAATTTATGCTAATTTATACTTAACAAATTTTTGTTTTTGATTAGATTGATATCTAATTACAAGATAAACAAAATAGAGTCTAAGTATTATTGAATTTGAGTATATTGTTGTAGTTTCGAGAAGTGAATTGTTAGTATAAATTTTCCTGATTTCTTACCTGTAATAATAAACATCAACTTTTCCAGCAGACAAACCAGTCTTTCTTAGTACTTCTTCCCGCTGCCAGCCTTTGGGTAAGGCTGGGCAGTCTGATCTTTTCTTCTCAATAGAAATATTCATTGTACTCATTATCACCAAACAAATTTGTTGAATTGAATGCAACTAAAAGAATGTCATAATTACTTTAAACATTTTAGTGAGAAAGCATTTACCTATTTGGTTGAAATTGATTACATTACAATACAACAATACAAACTTTTAATAACTGAAAAATGCTACCCACTCCATCCGGGACTCCTACAACGCTATTGACGTGACGTGATAGTGTCACTTGTCAAAATGAATGAATGATCATTCCATGACACTATTTGACGCAATCCAAAGACTAGAGGATCGATAGTAGTATTCATGTAGGTAGTAGTAGTAGAAGAATAAAGGTCTTCTACTACGACCTTTTTCTCAAGATAGTTTTTAAACGTTGCCCTTACTTTACAGTAGGATGTTATCCTGTAAGAAACAAACAAAGATACGTTTCACAGCAGTTGGCTTCTCAAACACTTCATCAACCGTGCAATCAACACTGTTTTAATCAGGAATTCAGATTATTCAGACTACTAAAATTTGTTATCTTGTCATTATACCCCCATAATTTCGTCATTCAAAGCACCTTTTTGTACTCGGCCGTGTTTTATCCATGGACGTATTGTTTGTTAATATTAGGTCCATGGTATTATCAGTCAAATTAAATCTTAAGAGTAATGACATGTTTACTCTATGGTCAGGTAGACATGTCATTTTCAACTCGGTCATCTTTTCTTCCCCTACCTAATTTAGTTCAGTCATTCAGTGCGGTCGGTCAGTAATTCTGATTTGCGGTGAATAGTGGGTAACGTTGAGTTTATTAATTTTATCAAGGAAATACGAGTTGAGTCGGTGTAAATAACAATAGCAGCATAAAGTGATAGTGGCAGATGTGTCTATTTTTCATCCAGAATCATTTACATGTATGTATTTGCTTTTAATTTCTCAATAACTGCTGATGGTTATTTCGTTGAATGATGTCAACTTCTGCTTTGATACTTTCACTTTGAAACATTTTATGAATTTAAATGAATATTTAGATTAGAGTTTATTTATTAAGTGTTATCAATATCCTAATGATGTACGAAGACGGATCATTTACCGAAGCAAAGTTGACAGCTAATAATGTTTGTTACTTGACTTCACAAGAATGGTGTTGAATGTAAATAATAACAAATATGGGCATTCTAATGTGTTTCAAACATTGAATATCTCACTGACAACCAGCAAGGGAGACAATTTCAACTACATTACTTATCTGATAATGATAAAGGCTGTTTTATTACACTGTCAAGATTACCCACTTGTGTTATTAATACCTACTTACATTAAGGAATTCCTCCTTCTAAAATGTATTTTTATTTGTCCAAGAAATTCTTACTTAGAGACTTCAACATTTCATAAGTATTCACATTTACAGTATTTCTAATTACCATTTGTGCAGCTCTATGTGATTACTTCTTTGGCCTGGAACTTAATTTTTTGTTCAAAATTTTCTAAAGTTAAATAATTAATTAAGAATCTTATTGGAAATGATTAAGTTTATCGATTTGGGTCAGTGAATATCCTTAGAAGCGATGTGTATGAATGTTAATGATATTTTGAAATCTTAAATCCCAATAAGAGTGAAATTATCATATTAAAGAGTCCAAGCATTTTCAAACTTTAATATATCCTAATGTTTACAATTAACAGAATTTTATATGAGAGGTATTTCTGAAAGCATTGTACAAACATTTTTGACCAGTTATATTACACATCCTGTAATGTGCACCACAGATTTTTGGTAAGCAGGTACAAATATAAAGATGAATAGCACGGGTGACAGTAACCATTATTTGGCTACTGAGGCTTAACTAAAGATCACCAAAGAAAGGGAATTATTAAAAAAATCTACTGTCTCCGTACTGCATCAATCCAAACTAATATTATAAATGCGAAAGTAACTCTGTCTGTCTGTCTTTTGTCACATCTAAACTACTGAACCCATTTCTGTGAAATTTGGTACAGACATAGTTTGAAACTCAAGAAAGGATATAGGATTGTTTTTATACCAAAAATCTGCAGGAAGTCACTATTCCTCACGAATGGAGTTGTGGGCAAAAGCTAGTATTATTTATGTATTTTTTTACTTGCATAGATTTGCACAGTTATTTAACTGTGCTGACTGAAACCTAATAGTTGCAAACATGTCACCACAAAGTCAGTTGTATGAAACATGTTCTGTGTATGTGTAGCTCTCATCACACTATAAAACCCCCCTATCATTCTTTGAGTTTTGGTAAAACTGCATGCTTTGGTCTGTTTAGTTATACCTGAGCAAGAAAACAATTATAAAAATAAAAAGTGTATTGTAGTAACATTTACTAAGGTTCACCAGTGCCTAATCTCTTGGGCAAGACAAGGTGTAATGTGAATTACATATGAATTCCAACTAGCCCAACCCAAATTCTAATTTGACCTCTCACTATGACTCAGTATTACATACACCTTTCAGATAAAAAATATTAAAATTTTTAACGTTAGTGTATCCACAGATAATTAATTATCCAGTATTACTCATCATAATTTTTCATAGTAATGAATTTTAAGAAAAGTTTAATTATTATAAGTAGTCTATGACATATTGAAGATCAAGGGAATGTGAGTCATATTTGTATAGTGAAATGTAGATATTGTATTGGTTATCACATCCAAATATTTAAGCCCTTACTCAGTGAGATAGTGATTGTGATGAGTTGGTGGTGTCAGTGTAAATTTTGCAATAGTTTGACATAAAATATACAAATAGTACCTAATGAATCTCACTCTCAACATAGATTTAATTAAATATTGTTGAATGAAAGCAGACTTGAATTCAGAATTTTACAATCTGATTTTGGAAACACTATTTGAAACATGCTACTCTTTACTAACCTGAAATTATAAAACAGATGATGCATGCATGTTTGTATGTCTGTGTGTGTTTTTTTATAGGGTGTCTTAAACTTAATCATTAATTGAATTCTCCCACCCTAACTGGGAGTGGTCCTAGTGAGCTACACTTGCTTGCCGTTTGAAAACAAGCGCTAACGGCGGCTGGAGCGCTAGGAAGATTGTTCCCTCACACGCTCCGCCTCCTCCTTTGCTAGTATTACTGCTTCGCAAAAGTAGGAGACGGCTTCCCAGCTCCTCTCGCTTTGCACAATGGCATCGGCCTCGACGAAGGTCGCTGCATCTTTGGATTTGATTGAGCCTTATGTTTCTCATCCACACGGCGAAACACAACGCGAAACCGTAGTATTATTAGTCAGATTAAGCCGTGCCCGGGGCCCATTCGTAGCTCAAGTGCCCCTGAAACCGCCCAAGGTATCAAAAAATACTGTGTTTAATAGCTATATTTGAAACTTTATAAAACACACGATTACAATGCAGAAACATACTGTTGTTGCGTATGCGTGCACTAAATAACTGATGTACCTTATCTTATATAATAATCAACAGCATACTTGTAAAGCAGTTATGTTCATTTTCACATAATCACTTAGGCAATCGTTGCACAATAATTTGTCGAACTTGTTACACGAAGTTTCCATGATTATTTATTAACAATTATTGTTTTATTATACGTAAGGACGTGACGTGACGGGACCTTACCGTCGGCTGCTGCCACTCTCACGACTATCGATCAATTAATCGTTTCAATTATTCAAGTCGAACGAATGTCGACGGTTCGTCTCCTTGAACTTTCTTTTTGCAATTTGATGTTAAAATGTCAATATTGTTTTCAAGTTTATGAGACTTTTAAACTTCTGTGCTGTGTAAAAGACTTTGAAGACCGAGTTGTCGTCTAAGTTGCGATATAAAAAATTGAATCTGTGCTCTAACTTTTAATAGTCTGAAATTTGATCTGGACTATATACTAAACTGTTCGTTGGTAAACAGGTCACTAGGCTATACCTATACCTACGAATACGTACTTAACGATTAAGTCGTAAGTATGAAATTACTAGTTTATGATAGTTCTTGGATCGCAGTCACTTATTATACCCAAGTGAGTCCAGTACTGAATGTATTGCTTATTTTTCTATACCGTTCCAGAAACACACGGCTCTCAATTTAGAAATGGGTACTTTATAATTTTATGATTAATCTCAATATGTCCTAAAGCATGGTAACGGAATTGGGCAATAAAGAGTATCATTTCCTTGTTTTAAGTTCGCTGGAAGTCTTTTCAATTTGACTAATGTAGTATACAGATGGAGTATACTGCGGCAATGTTTTGTAGAATAAGGTACGTATACTAGTAAAACAGATCCGAGGCAGTAAAGGCTCATATGAAAACATCTTTGTTAGTTTTTAACTGGCTTTAACCTGGGCAGCCAGTTAATACCTGTTTTTGACCATGTTTACCTCTTCCCGAGTGTACTGCGCGTAGAATTCTGCGCGCCTCTGAGACTAAATAGTCCACCAGACATGAAGGCAATATCCAGTATCCTTCATGCCACCAGACCACCTTCCAGAATCCGACAGGGCCTATGTCCAGATTGCAGGGCTAGCGCAATTATGGACCGAGGCATTTAATGATCTTTGTCCGGAAAAATAAATCATACTCATACTAATCATGAAATCTTCGTTTGAAACTTCGGTACGGTCAGTCCTCATAATACCTGAAAACCGAAGTCATTAATGTATGGATATTTTTTTTAAAACTGTCTTAGTAACATGCTCTTTACAAGTAAATAGAAATAGGAAAGTAGCAATTAAGTGTTTACTTATAAATTTCATTTTCACAAAATGTTGCTCCCCTCACGTCATTTCATCTGTGTCGATGGTACGTTTACAAACATAGAAAAGGACATGTACTCTATTGGGACATGTCTCTAGGTTGCACGAGTATGGGATCCGGTGACTCATGATATTTATTTTAGAAAATTGTAGCATTTTTGAAGTTGATTGTAACCCTATTCTGAGGATCCGCTTCTTGGATTTAATTACTACACACAGCGGTCACTAACAGGCCCTCAATTTTATGGATTTTTCCAAAATTTGCTCTTTGAGTAGGAATTAATCTAAATACATATGTGGTTATCTTTTCATAAATTACATACCTAGTTCAGTTTGTTTCATTCGCAAGAGCATGACCTCGGTCATTAGCGTGCTAATTTTGACAATGGAATTAGTTCGTGGGTTAGTTCACTTATGGCCAGTAGCCATCGTCCAACGGTATATTGACCCATGTTGGCTATAAAAATATTAAAAAGTCCGCACGCGATGTAGTTAACCAATATTGCTATGCGTCACAGATTTACTGTGATTAATGGAATAAACGATTACGACTATTTACGACGAACCTGCTACTGAAATTGACGGTGGTATGTCGTTCTTAATCAGAACGTTCTCTAAGAAACAAGACAAACAAATAAAAATGAAATTCATGACGATGACAATGTCCTAAATAAAAACAACCTTGCCTACAAAATCTAAATCATAATTTACTAATTTAGTTCATTGTACAAATGTAACCATTTTTGAAAGTCTGGTATCTATCTGGTGTCCATAGCATAATGCCGTCCATTTGTACCTTCCTAATGGGGTAAGGGAGGGGTCCAATGACAGGTGACGATTTGACGTCATCTACGCACACTGACGGTTTCTGGGCGTTTAATGATGCCAGCTAATGATCCACCATTCCCTTGTAATATTACTCAAACAAAACTAACAGCGTGTCAATAAAATCCAAATAAATTGAATGAATAAATTTATCCAGTTTTAAAAGGTCCAACCGCGCTTGCTGACCTGGGAGAGATCTCAAGATTGTTCCTATATCCGATTGAATAATATAAAATCCATCGTTGTTTTTTAGATCCTTAAAATAAAAATTCAAGAAAGTGGATCAAATAGCATGGACCTGCACACTTACGTTAGCATAAACTTTGTGGGAAAAAACCAACGTTACTATGGTTATTTACAATTTTGTGAAAAAGGACATGTTCCGAATTTCTGGCTCAGAATTTAGTAAGTACATATTTCGTTTGAATTGCACTATTTAGTGAGAAACGTAACCCAAATACAAACAGAGCGGAAATATTAATGGTGACGTCCCCTAGAGCTTATGGCCACTACTGGTGCTAGAATTAGACATTATGTGTACCGTCTGTACACGTAACATATCAAAATGTCAAGGTAAGGCACCGCGGCAGAAGCGCGAGCATGCGGAGCGAATAACCCGCAAAAGCTCTGAAAGCTATTAAGCTTTTTCGGTTATCAGCACTGAAGGTAGGTAGGGCTGCCTTGTTGCTTTATCCGAAAATGTCAGGCGCGGCTGTGACGTCATCAGCGAAATGGCGCGACATTTCGCGGTGCGCCTGCCACGCCCGAGCCCACCCTAATCTCTTGTCATAGCAGGGTTGTCCGAGCGAAACGGCCCCCAAGGTTCTTTCTTGGGACCGACCTCCCTTTTACGGTTAATAGTGGCAACTATTTGCTGATAACCGCTAAATTATTGTTATTCTGTAATCACGAAGAAGTTAGAGATTGCCGGTTGTACTTGTGTAGGTATAAGTATGTAGATGTTGCCACGTTGCAACAGTTTCAGATTGGTTTATCTGCAGTATGGGTAAATGCCTTAAATTACAATAAAGTTAATAACGCCTATTAGACTTTCCTTTTGCGTTAATCTCAAACAGATAAACTTGTAATCTTTAGTATTAAAGCAGATACTGCAATGAAGATAAATACGCGATACAATATTTATATTTACCTGCTAGTAACACATAGTTAATTTTAATCGTATTAGTTTATCATGGGGATGAAAAAATGTGTTATGTTTAAAACCATTTCAAGTATTATCTATACCTAGTCGTATACCCAGAAACATTTAATGACTGATGTTTGCAATTTTATATTAAAGAGACGAGGAGGAGAAGTAGGGCCTATCTAATTTATGAAAGGCTTATCTATCCATACCAAAGTTGTACAATTAAAATTTCTTTACTGGTCAGTTTTAATTCAGACTTCTATAATTCTCGCACGCAATATTGATTTAGTATTGATGATATCATCAATTGTTATCATCCAATAGGTAAATCAGTAATCATAACATTGTAACAGGTAAAACACTTCTATTGTATTTCTATTAGGTATCTGTCAACAATTGCGTTCATAGAATCTGTTAATTTAATTTCAATTGTAATGTCATTAATGAAAAATCGATCTATTTAATTGCTTCGTTAATCTGGTCGGTCAGTTAAAAAAATGCTTCTAATGATCTGCTATTAAGAAATGTTGTATTTTGAGGAAATGCATCCCGCGCCCCAAAATCGCTTGAACATGCGCATGAGTCCATTTTATTTCGTTTTGTCGTCACATCGAACCACGATTTACTATGTCCATGTCTTCTGTGTAATTAGATAGTCTAGTTAAGACGGTGTGTTGACCGTTTGTATTTCTGATTCGCAAGTAAAATATTTTTAATAACTAGATCACCTACTTATAGCGTACTAGAAACCAATGCAAATAAATAATATTGAAATATTGTGATTCTATGATTAACATGCAGATGTTAAACGTCGTACGTTTTCCAACGTTTAAACCATTTTAAACTCGTCTGTTCTGTCACTTATGGAAAACTAAAGGTATTTAGTGAATACGTGAAATGGACAATCAAATAAATGGGTGTGTCTGGTGAAATAATTAACTGAAATGTAGTTATAATGGTTTACTGTTGTTAACAGGTAATCACCATGGCAGTAATGACCCACTGTCTCTAAGACGTGTTGTTATTTCGGCTTCAGGTGAGTGTATCCCAATTATTTTAATGTTTTTTTCGCTTGAAAGCAATCTGTCCTCTAAACTTACGGCGGTGACTATTGATTGCTGATTGTTCAGCCGTGACACTGACATAGATGATGACCAGGTGCTGCGTGCCTAGAACAATAAAGAGAGATACTTCTCCACCTAGGTTTTGTATCGCCCCTCAAAATACAAAGTTATTGCGTACAATTAGGTGACCATTGTTTTAGACGTCAACAACGTTGATGGATGATTTTAGCAACTTTTAGCGAAATGCGAAAACGCGATCTAAATGCGGAAGAAGGGTGTATTGTCTTTGAAGGCCGTCACTTCAGAGGCGCGGCCGTCACGCGTTGATGTTTGCCAAATTAAAAACAAAAAAAGGTTCAGTTTGTTCTTAATTAATTAAAAAAAACGTATGTTTAATTACATTACAACCTCGCTTATGATTTACTTTGATTGATCAGTGTTTGACCATGCATTAAGTTAATTAATGTGTAAACTTGATTTCACGACCGGTGACATTATTGAAGCATTTTTTTTTAATTAACAAATAAATGTAGTGTTATAAAAATGTGAATTAACAGCTGTTTGATGACACATTTTGAAATAAATGTTTGTTAGACGGTTGACATATGTACAAAATCACACAGTCTACATAAATTATGACATTAGTCATCGGTTAGAGTTCTTAAAGTCTTGAGAAACAACATGCTGTATGTTACGTACATCAATACATTATTAAAACTTCAACACTAGAAGATTGCCATAATTACAAATAAAGTTGCCGCGTCATGCGTAGAAAAGTAGAAATGAAAAGTCAATTATAATTTCACGGGTGCGTTAAACGACGAGAGATAACATTACATATTAACTGGATAATTTATAGAATAATATTAGCTAATTAACGTTGTAATCAAATAGAGTAAAATCCGATTACTGGTCTGTGGGTGACCCCATCAAACCCTATCAGCTAATCGATTCCGCTGACGAGTCTATATTGATAGTGACCGCATAGACGCATGATGGGTGTCACGCCACGCCTAACTCAATCACAGCCGGGAACGAGCTTTAATGTTCCTGAAAGTAGAACGCGGAAACACGTAAGCGTTTTACGGCAAACTAGTTCTTCTTTGTTGCTGTTAAGGCTCGATGTCAAAGGTTCATCCATTGTTTAAGGGGTGGCTATATTTACTCGGGCCGCGTCCGACCTAATTTGGCAGGATTTGATTTGGTTAACGGACCCATATATTCCATAAGCTTATACGGACAATCTAGTAGTTTAGTTACACATATTGAAGCTGAGTATATAGTTCCATAATGGCCCATATATCCGTTTAGTTTGACGTTGTTTACGGAGCATTCTCACGTAAATGTTTATCGGAAGTTGTAACCCTTTGATAATCTGGTAATTAATAATAAACTACTGCATTGAGGTTATATTTAGCTGTTTACGTTGTGCTTTGGAAAATTAATGTTCTGGCGAATAAGTCTTTGTTTGCACGATTTCAAAACTTGTAGCTCTAATTGGTCCTTGAAACACTGAAAGACGTAACGTCTCATTTCTTTCCTAATGCAGTATTTAGTGCAACAACAAGAATTACACAATTGCAGTAAAACAAAAGTGTAGTAGTAGTCTTGCCTTAATGAGGCATTTGACTTCACTAACATAATATTTTTCTAAACTGCTATGAATATTTTCTGTTTTTGCACAAATATGCCATGAATTCCCTGTAAATAACGACACGCCCTTCATGTAATTAACAATAAGCGTCGGTAATTGGGTACAAAATGTAACAACAATGAACGCTAAGTAACGTCCACGTTTCACGTCCAGCCCTATTAAGATATAATTCATTTATCCAGAACAAGATGCAAAAACTATTTTATATTGGACTGTTGCCAACTCTGCGTGACTGCTTTCACTGATTATTCACCGATTTATTTTTATTTTTGTCGAATATTGAACTGAAATCCAGCCTACAGCTTTGCTAAAATAGTTTGTAGTAAGTAGTTCCATTTTGTGTTTACTCGTGTCCTGAACGTAGACTAGGCCACCCTTTAGTTCCGTGGGCGTCGTAGTCAATAGCAATATCCTTTTGTACACTGATGTTGATGGATGACAATACAATGTAGGTGTTCATACTCACCAACCAATTTACTAAGAACCAATAAAGAACTTGTGTATTGGTATTCAGAGTCTATAAATTTATCTTCGAGTCATTTCCTAACGAGGTTGAGGTCAGCACTAAGTGTTACCCAGATTTGGCTAGGTGCAATGGTTTTAGAAGTCATGAATTGAGCCGGACATTAAAACACGAGACGAAAAACCATGTACGCATAAACTAAAACTAAAGCAACAAGACTATTAAAGTCACTTCTGAACTAATATGATCTAATATGGTCAAATTAAAGATAACAAAAACAAAATAATTTGCTCGTACTGCTCTACATTCTTAGACGATACTCTTGCGCATATGGTCCGCGAATGGAGTCACGGACGAGATAATATTTATAAGATGTCTAGACAAGCGTCCAGGTAACTTAAACCGATCTTACACATGTTCCCAAAAATTTGTTATATTGAGAATTTTCCGGAATAGTCAAGGACAATTTCTAATGCTTCTAAATAAATCAACTTCTAAAATCTAAAACGTTTCAAGGACCGATAAATACGCCGCGTGACGGCGTGATATCGTAATTATTTGCTACGTTTGCTTCCTAAACAAATGGTCTTATAAAGGTTCATACAAAATAATCGCTCTATTTTTCTTAAACCTTGCATCGTCACTTTCACAAGTATTTTATTTTCAGTAAATAATGTTAACAATCTTGTTTTTTTTTGTGATTCATCGCAAATAGACTGATAGTCTTCAGGGTTATTTTTCTGTGACCAGTTTATATGAGTCACTGTATCACATTCCTATCCTGAAAGCCAGGCAATTATCGTTACTGCTCATTAGTAGCAATTTGTGTGCTGTTCCGTTCCTGTGAACGGTTAAATTCGCACCGCCAGTGTTGTCATATTGCATCGATAATGTCGTCAGTAGTAACAGTGTCTAGCCATCCGTGTGTGCCATTGCACAAGACCTGTCGACATAATGGCCCACTACAAACGGTGTTAGTGAATGCTGTTTAACTACCTACAGGAAATTGATTCGCTTAGAAAGAATCGTTTTATTGATTTATGTTACCCCTCACCACTTCCATTGCAATTCTATAAACTATAAACCACATCGTTCTATGGTCAATATTTTTTCAAACTCGTTTTTTTTTATATTTGTTTGTTTTCATTCATTATTTTCTAGGCTAGAAGCAGAAATTTTGACCTAAAGCTCAAAAGTAAGTTAAGGTTTTCAAGTTTTAACATCTTAGTTAAATATTCACATTCCCTTTAAAGTTTTAAGATCACTATACAGCTTTTAACTTTTACTAGAGAAATGTTTGAAACTTTATTCTCGATTGCCTGAAATGGCCCCATGACGTTGAAACACGTCGTACCAAAGCCAGCATTGGAAGTAGAATGAATCGAAACCATCAATGGAAGTGGTATCGTAGCCGAAGTTTGGTAGAGCTCCAACTCACCTTGAGGTTTGCTGTTACGTACGCTAAAATACACTATCAAAACAGTGCGTTTCGTTCACCGTTCCGAGTCACACGCTCGCTTGGCAAGCGCTCCTCTATATAATAATTGTTTTACAAATAAAGCCGAGAAATAAAGTCGCTCTCAATTTGATAGCGCTTTACCGCCGTGCCTTATATTATTTAATTGTTATAAATTAATGATTTAAATCTGATATTAAACGAAAATTATTTTTGTAATGTGAATGTGACGTGTTTAACGCGGACTCAGCGTCTCATTGGATTGTCTAAGATTCGTCTGGGCCTATTTCTATGATGTGAGTTCATAAACAAAATATTTATTACAATACGGAAATAGGCTTTTGTTGCATGATATATTAATATCATTAGCGTATGTTTTAATTCCTTAATCGTGTCGATAATCGATATTATTGCAAAATCAAATTGTTTATTAACAATTGTACTGCACTGTATAAATTATATGTAGTATTGTTTATTATAACGATTACTATTTTAATGATCTAGTCGTAAAACGTCTACTTCAATTGAAAGTAAATAAAATCTTTCTTTCAGTGCAATACATATAATTTTAATAGCGTATTTTATTTATAATTCCCATAGGTGTAAATGCAGGTACTATTTTTACTTATGTTCATCTTAATAATTTATCATTTTCAGATTTTCAAAACATGTAAAGATAATAACCAAAAATTTATTAGATATCTAGATATTTAGTTTTAAATATGATAAATCGAATATAATATAATATAATAGTATTTCGAAACTGGCTTCTTTGCCCAGATTCATTTACCTTGCTTACATTTCGTAAATTAATTATGAATCAGTAAAAGTCAAAATTCTTAATGTATTTATAAAGTTACAAAATAAAAAATAAGCTTATAAGAACAGAAGAACGTAAGAAATCTGATGTTTAAGTAAAAAATATTTGGCTAAAGAAAACGAAGTGATCGACATTATTATGTTGTATTGATTAAATATATATAATAGGAAAGATAAAGAAAATGCTATCTCTGTTACGCCAGTTAGGCATGTCTCATTGTATGTGTAGTGGTCTCCAGTCCCATCAATAACTGGGTGAATAGGGGTTTCGAACGACCAGTCACTGTCATTTCAAATATTGCGTCATAAGGAAATGAGGTAACGGCCTAACAGGGGGTATTTTATTTAGAAATATCAAAATTTAACAAAAAGCAAAACTACCATTAAATGTATAGATAATTTTTCGAATAGAAATTTTGTATGCTCTTCATACATGTCTTATTAACTAATTAAGTGATTGTTTTGCATAAAAAAAGATGATTCCATGAAATAAATTCAGGTGCCAGTATTTCTTTAAACACACATGTGTGCGAATCAAAGTTTACCAGTCAATTAAAAAAAAATTGCAGTCAATTGGCAT